TGCTATCGCTCCAGCCCCTTGACACTGATTCTTTATCTGGCATTTAGTAGATGCTCAGTAAGTGTCGCTGAAAAAAAATTAAGGGGAAACTGGAGCTAGAAGAGTGAACAATCTCATTCTAGGCCACAGAGCAGGGGTCCCACCTGATCTCCTCATGCCGCTGCCTCCCAGAGGGCCGCACCAGGGTGTGAGGGAAGGAAAAGACAAGAGGCAACATGCGACTTCCTCTCTCTGCTTGGCTGGTCACTCCTTGCCCTTGTCCCAGCAGGGTCTGACTAGCTGGGAGTGGAGGGTACACTGGCCCTGGGCCTTTTACGATGAGGCTGGGAAGGGGGAGAGAGAACACTGCTGTGGGAGAACTCATGGGCTTCCTCCTCCCTGGCTGAGCCCCTTTGGATTCTTTGCAGGAAGGAGAAGTTCTGTGAGAGTGTGAGCGCATGTCAGTGGGCGTGAAAGAGTGTGAGATTGTGTGTGACTGAGCATATGTGTGAGTATGAGAGACTGTGAACATAAATGTACAAGAGTGTGTGTATAGTGGGTGTGAACATATGTGACCATGTGTGTAGTGTGGGTGAGTGTATGTGATGGTGTGTGTGTGTAGTGTGGGTGCATGTTGATATATGTGACATGGTGTATAGTGTGGGTGTGGGTGAGTGTAACCCTTGCCTTAATGTGAGCCTCCCTCAGGCTCGCTGCCTGTGCCTCTCTTTTAAGGAGTCCCCACGTGAACCCCACTTCCCCCTGCCCCCTTCTGTCTTGGCCTCCCCCCAGGATTCTTGCTTCAGTGGGGTAGGGGGCAGTTGACGCTCTGCTCAGGACTAGAACACCAATAGATCCTCAAGTGGCCAGGATTTGAAACCTGCCCCACTGGCATGGCTGATCTTTCTCTCACCCCAGGCACCTCATACTGGTGGCTAGTGCCCACTATCCCCTGCCACCCCATGGTCTGGCTGCCACGGGAGGGCCTGCCACTGTCTTTAGGATGTGCAGTCCCATAACGTATTGTTTTTCGTTTTCATATTTTGGCCACACACACCAAGCTATGATCAGGGCTCTGTGCTCAAAAGTCACTCTTGGCAGTGCTTGGGGGACCCGGTAGGGTGATGGAATTAAACCTGGTCAGCCATGTGCAAGGCAAGTAGTGTCCTACATGCTATACTATCTCTCAGGCTCCAGAGGTATTGTTTTTAATTTCAGAATTTAGTTGTGATCTTGAAACACGAATTGATTTAGGAAGTCATTAGCAGGGCTAAAGAGAGAGTTCAGGGAATAAGGTGCTTGCCTTGGATTTGGCCAAACTTGGTTTGAGCTCCAGCTGTTCATGGTTCCTTCAGCACCTCCAGGTGTGGCCCAATCCCTGCCCTTCCCCTGCAAAACCAAGAAAGCACAGCAGATGGGGCATTTGGCTTGCACATGGCCGAGCTGGGTTTGATCCCCGGCATCCCGTATGGCCCCCAAGCACTGTCAGGAGTAACTACTGAGTGCAGAGCAAAGAGTAATCCCTGAGCATCACTGGATATGATAAAAAAGAAAAAAGGAAGCAGTCATTATCATTCCAAGTTCCTTTACCATCTGAGCAACATCTGGGAGAATCCTCAACTCCTCAAAGTCTGGGTAGATAGAGGTCTCAAAGTATAGGGTCCAGGCTGGAGCCGTAGTGAAGCAGGTGACAAGTTGGCCAGGAATAGGCCCTGTGCTCCCAAATAAAAAGTACAGTGTCCACGGGTTGAAGAGAGAAGACAGAACAAGCCTGAAATCCTGAGCTTAATCTCTGATGCCACCTGGGCACTGAGACAATCCTGACCAGCATAGAGTTTAGGTCCCAGTAAAAAAAATTGTTGGATCACAGGTCTAAGGAATGAACCCCGGGTGTGAGGGGCAAGAAGAATGTTAACACCTCTGTATTGTTGCTCCAGAGGGCCCAGTAACATTGTGAGACTTGTTACGAGTAACATTGTGAGACTTGTTACTGTGTTTGGCATAAGGAATAGTCAAGGTAGCTTGCCAGGCTTTACCCTGAGGGCAAGATACTCTCGGTAGCTTGCCAGGCTCTCCGAGAGGGGCGGAGGAGTGGAACTTGGGTCGGCCACGTGCAAGGCAAACGCCCTACCCGCTGTGCTATTGCTCCAGCCCTAACCTCTAACCTGGGCATTTGCATCTTCATGTCGCTTTTTTTTTCCTTTTTCTTTGGGGACACATTTTGGGGACACATCCAGCGGTGCTCAGGGATCACTCCTGATGGGACTCGGGGCTCTTTGTGATAACAGGGACCAAACCCCAGTCAGCCAGGTGCAATGCAAGCACCTTCCCTCTGTACTTTCTCACTCAGGCATCCAGGTCTTTAATAAGTACTTGTAACAGTCAGGACCAAGGACAGAACCCCCAGGGACAACCCCCAGAGCCGCCCTCCTCTCTCTCTCTCTCTCTCTGGTTTTTGGGCCACACCAGGCAGTGCTCAGGGGTTACTCCTGGTTCTGCACTCAGTAGTCACTCCTGGCTGTGCTTGGGGGGACCATATGAGATGCTGGGGATAGAACCGGGTCAGCTGTGTGCAAGGCAAGAGCCTTACCTGCTGTACTATCACTCTGACCCCGCCCTCACTTTCTTGAGGACATCTTTGTGGGTGCTCCAGAGTTTCGTTCGTTCCTTGGTTGTGGGGCCACACCCAGCAGTGTTCAGGGCTTATTCTTGGCTCTGTGATCAGGGTTCACTCCTGACTTGGGCTCGAACTCACGTTAGCACCCTGTAAGGCAGGCATCTTATCCATGTCATGTCTCTCTGGCCACTCTCCCGAGCATTATATCCAACCACTATGACAACCCATAGTGCTGGGATGTGTCCTGACTGCAGGGATATAAGCCGAAGAGGCCACAACCCCATATGAGCCAAGTGACCCAGGACAGAGAAGAGAACATCTTCTGTGGCTGTGCTTGGTGAGCGCCTGCACGCCAGACTGTGACTACAGGACTCCATTTCCCTGCACTTCGAGCACCTAAGGGTTTTATTTATTCATTTATTCATTTATTTATTTTTGTTTTGGGGGCCACACCTAACTGTGCTCAGGGCTTACTCCTGGCTCTGGGTTCTGGGGTCGCTCCTGGTAGTGCTCAGGGGACCACATGGTAAACCAGCGATGGAACTCAGGTCAGTCACATGGAAGGCCAACACCCTTCCTGCTGTGCTAGCACACTGGCCTCCAAGGCCTAAGTGTTTTAGACAGTCAGCCTGACTCTCTGTGGTGGCTGGGTTACACCTCTTCTCCTTCCCGCTCCCATAGCACGATCCCTGATCCCGCACTACCTCCACTTCCCACAGTCTTGTGTTCCTGTGAGGAGTCCCTGGGAGGCATCAGCTCCTTTGAGGCCACAGGGATGGTCCTCAGAGAAGCTCTGTACAAGGACCTTCTGGATAAGGACCTCCTATGTTCCTCTCGGAGGTACTGTTTCACCTCAGAATGAAGTTATGGGGATGAGGAAGTGCAACCCTCCCCTTTCACCGCATAGGTAAACTGAGGCATGGTTAGAGAAGTTATAGGATTCGCCGGAGTTAAAAGCATACCCAATCATATTTCCATGCAATCCACTGGGGAGAACGAGGGGGGTAGGGACAGGATCCCCTCCTCACCGTCCCCCACTTCCCTAGGGCACCCCCTCTAGGATCCCAGAGCATTTAAAGTGTTTTTGCAGCATCAGTCACCATTTAGGAAGCAAGAGAGGAGAGACCCCAAGAGAACAAATCTCCCAGACACAACTCCCAGGGGCCTCTGTCAGAGCCAAAAGGCAGATTGTGGGGATGAAAAAACAGGCCCCCCATACTCCCCATCTTTGGGGTCCCTACTGAGACCCCTGCAGCACACCAGCCACCTACCAGGTCTCCCTCCCACAGAGCATCAACCCCTGCCAGCGTCTCAGCCCCTGGGCCCAGTGGCCACCACACTCAGTGGCACCTGTGTCCACTAGGAGCGCCTCCAGCCAGCACAGTGCCCCTGTCCTGGGGCTCAGTCAATGCTGTAAGTTTGATCAAACTGAACTGAGCAGACATGCACCTCCCCCCCCCCCAAGTCCCAGGGAGTCCACTCTCCCTGACCAACTGCTGTGACCTTTTCGTTTGCTCCAGGCTCAGCTGGGGACCTCCAGAAAACCTCCCCCAGGGGCTGGAGTCACAGTGCAGTGGAAAGGGAGCTTTTCTTGTGTTTGGCCACCTAGGGTTTGGTCCCTCAGCGCCCAGTATGGTCCCTCAAGCCCACCAGGAATCATCCCTGAACACAGAGCCAGGGGTAAACCCTGAGCACTACCGGGTGTGGCTCCCAAACAACACACACACACACACACACACACACACACACACACACACACACACACAAAGAAGAGAAAAGAAAAAAGAAGAAAAAACAACGAACATGATCTGAAGTATCGTCCAGAGCTCACAGTATGTCTGAGCAGGTAGGTAGGTGGCCCTCGGGGAGCCGACTTTGCTAGTTTTGGCTAGTCTGGTGACCACCAGGGGCCGCCCTCCGCCCAAAATCCCGGGCGGGGAGGCCCAGGGGGGCCGGTCCCCGCCGAGAAGAGCGGGCGGGCGCGCGCACGCTTCAGTGCAGTGTCTCGGGTCAGTGCCCGCTGCTGCGCGCGCGTTCGTGTCCTGCCAGGAGGCTCCTCGAGACCCGTTGCACGTGCTATCTGCCCCGTCCAGCCTGCCAGCCGCCCCGAGGGTGTCCCTTCACCTGGCCCGTTTTCTGCGTTGCAGAAACAAGAGTCCCAGGGATGCACTAAGTGAGGCGAGCGGAGAAATCGGACACGGGCAGCCCCTCGGCAGGCTCTGGGCCCCGCGGCACGGTCCGCACGGGTCCCGCCCCGCGCGGGGCGGAGGCTGCGCCGGACGCTGCGCTCTAAGGGGTTAAGGCCTGCGTCCCGCCCCCTTCCCCGCCAGGCCGGCGGGAGTATGAATAGCCTCGCTCCCACTCCCGGCGCAGTCGCTCGGGTTTCTCCGCCCGCTCATTGTCCCCTGCGCTCGGCTCTCCCTCTCCTCCAAGAAGCTTCGCCAGCCGCGGGCTTCTCCCAGCGCCCCGCGCCTTGACGCCCCGCGCGGTGCATCCGTCGAGCAGGATGGAGGGCTGCCTGGGAGAGGAGTCTTTTCAGATGTGGGAGCTCAACCGGCGCCTGGAAGCCTATCTGGCCCGGGTCAAGGCGCTGGAGGAGCAGAATGAGGCGCTGAGCGCGGAGCTCGGGGGACTGCGGGCCCAGTCCGGGGACGCGTCCTGGCGTGCGCGCGCCGACGAGGAGCTGGCGGCCCTGCGCGCCCTGGTCGAGCAGCGCTGGCGAGAGAAGCACGTGGCCGAGGTGGCCCGCGACAACCTGGCCGAGGAGGTGGAGGGCGTGGCGGGCCGGTGGCAGCGCCAGCGCGAGGCCCGCGAGCGCGTCGAGGCGGCGGCGGCCCGCAGCCGGCGCGAGTTGGACGACGAGCAGCGCGCCCAGGGCTGGCTCCGCGCGCAGGTGGCCGAGCTGCAGGGCGAGCGCGAGGCCCTGCGCGCCGCGCACGACGAGGAGCGCGCGGGGCTGAACGCGCAGGCGGCGGCCCGCACCCCGTGCCGCCCCGCGCCGCCCCGCGCGCCCCCCGCGCCGGCCCCCGAGGTGGAGGAGCTGGCGCGACGGCTGGGCGAGGCGTGGCGCGGCGCGGTGCGCGGCTACCAGGAGCGCGTGGCCGACCTGGAAACGTCGCTGGGCCAGGCCCGCGAGCGGCTGGGCCGGGCCGTGCAGGGCGCCCGCGAGGGCCGCCTGGAGCTGCAGCAGCTCCGGGCCGAGCGCGGCGGCCTCCTGGAGCTCAGGGCGGCGCTGGAGCAGAGGGTGGACAGCCAGTGGCAGGAGCGGCTGCGGGCCACCGAGAAATTCCAGGTGAGCCGGGAGGGCGGGGCTACCGAACCGAGCACCCGCGGACCCCCCGGGGAAGAAGGCAGTGGGCAGTGCGGGGGGGGACATACTCCCCCCCACTCGGGCCAAAAATTGGGGTTTCGGGCCCCCCCGACGGGCCTGACGCTGGGGGCCCTCCCCTGATGGCCCTGCAGAATCTCCAAGTTCCCCGCACCCACCTCCCCCAGAGTGGTCTGCCGTCCTGTCTCCTCGGCCCCACGCCCACATTCCAGGGGCCAGGGACAGCTGTCCCCCCTCACGAGCAGATGTGACCAGCAGCTGAGAAAATAGCCCTCCCCGGTCTCCCTCCCCACGCTCCCCTTGCTGCAGAGATTCCAGAGCGTGTGGGCAGGGCAGGGGGCGGCCCCCAGCCAGGGCAGCGGGCAGCCCGACCTGCTGCTTGGCCCCGCGTGGGGCCCAGGCTCCTGCTGAATCATCTTGGCTTCCGCTGGCCCCGGGTTCCCTCTGGAAGCCATCTCCTCTGCGTCCTCCCGAGCACTTCCTGTGGGAACCAGATTCTGGCAGCATGTGTAACCTTTCATCAGCGTCCTCCGAGGAGGAGCTGGTGGGAGAGGGACTGGGGCCTTCTGGAAGGTTCCCCAGGGCCTTCTGAGGGCTGGGAGTGGGGTCTAACTGCCGCCTGCTACCCTGGCCTCTGTCACTCCACAGCTGGCTGTGGAGGGCCTGGAGCAGGAGAAGGAGAACCTGCAGAGACAGATTGCTCAGATCCTGGAAGGCCGGCAGCAGCTGGCCCACCTCAAGATGTCTCTCAGCCTGGAGGTGGCCACCTACAGGTACCCACGGGGCGCCCCTGCTGAGCCCGCAGCCACAGCCATTGGACACCCTGGGCTCCAGCTGGTCTGGTTCTCAAGGCTGTGACTTCCAGACAGACTTCATCTCACCTGGACCCCCCTGTGGGTTCAGAGCCTAGAACTGTTCTGTGCCCTGGAAACCACCCCCCCAACTCTGCCTCCAAACAGGGAGGGACTGGTGTGGACCCCACCTCCATCCAGCCCCCCTGATGGAAGGTGATCTTGTCTGAGAGAGGGGGATGTGCCAAGTGACACCCCAGGTCTGGGCACCTGTAAATGACCAGTGGTGGGAGTCTGCAGAGGGGTCCTTAGGGAGGGGCGTGTGTCCCCAGTTCACAGACTGGACATTTGAGGACAGCAGTCCCAGACGCCACAGGTCAACCAAGACTGGGGCCCTGAGACAGGTGGGGAGATCTGGAGAAGGGAGTGAAGGAAGGGGTCCCCCTCACTCAGGAGCATAAAGCTGCATGGGAGGGAGTACCCCACAGCCTGCCCTTTTAAGAGGTCCCCAGAGCAGCGGTCCACCTGCTGAGAGTGAGAGGAAGGGTCCTGGCAATCTTTTGAGGCACAAAAAGCATTTGCAGAGTGGGGAACTGGATTCCTTTGCTTTTTTTTTTGTCACTGAGCAGGGTCTGGGGGCAGGAGGGTGAGGGGGCAGGGAGGCTATCCCATGGGAACCGCCTGAGAATTCCCACTTCCCCCGGGAAGCCCCCTCCTCAGACCCTCCAGATGGCGCAGGGACAAAGACAGCATTACCATGAGAATCGACCCCACACGGGGGAGGATGAGGTCATCCCATCTCGCTGGGCTGGGAAGGGGCCCACCGTCTAGGGGACACACTCTGTGCATGGGAACCCGCAGCAGCCGTGGGCCGGGATGCTGTGTGTCAGGCGGCAGTGCCCCGGGCCTGAGGGCAGTGGACTAAGCCTCCTCCCTCCTGCCTCTCCCCAGGACCCTCCTAGAGGCGGAGAACGGCCGGCTGCAGCCTCCTGGCCTTGGGTCCAAGGCTGCTGTGTGCTTCCCAGGTAAGGAGGGTTGTGCCAGTCCATCCTCACTGCCTCTCAGCCCCGGGCTAGTCCCCTCCGGAGGGGCACTGGTCCTGCCTGCACCTTCACCCACCCGCCCTGCCAGTCAGTTGGAGACTCAGCAGACTCAGGGTGCCCGGGGGGTGGCAGCGGGAGCCTCCCTGCCTCAATGACCCGTTTCTCCTCTGCCTTTCCAGGCCCCAAGCTGGAGCTGCCTTTCCCTGAGACGCCAGGCGGCCGGCTCACGGGGCCTCTGCCCCCCAGCCTCAGCCCCTCCATCCTCTCCTCGCCCTTGCCTAACTCCCTCGACACGCCCAGGCCAGCTTTCCTGAAGAGCCAGGAATTCCTCCAGGCCCACACCCCGACCTTGGCCAGCACCCCCATCCCCCCCACCCCCCAGATCCCCTGCCCTGCTGCAGAGGCCCTGCTCGGAGCCCAGGGCGCCCCTCTCTCCCTGCTGCAGCCACAGTCACAGGTGGGCGAGCAACAGGCACCAGAGGCCCCACAGGCCGCGGTCTCTGCCAGCCGCCTGCCAGGACCAGAGGAGCCTGGGGGTGAGCCTCAGGAGGCCAGAGCAGGCCTGTCCCCCACACACTCCGCGGCCCCATCCCTCAGCCCGGATGCCCCCAGTGCAGAGGCCAGAGATGAAGAGCCCAGTGGGGTTAGTGTGTTCAGCAGGGTGCAGGAGGAAGGGGAAGGGCCGTTGTGGGAGCTGCCGGAGAAGGAAACAGTGCTGGAGGCCCAAAGGGCAAGCAGCCTACAGCGGGAAGTGTGGGGAGATGAGGGGGGGCTGGGCCTGAGGGAAACCGGGGACCCCCAGGAGCCCAGGGAAGAAGAGGCCACGGGGGCTCTGCAGCAGGAGACTCCGGGGAAAGAGGACCACGAGAGCCTGCGGTCCCCAGAGGAGGAGGAGGAAGAGGAGGATGAAGAACCACTGAGATTTTCAGATGGGCCCTTTGAAACACCGCAAAGTCTGGGAAATGACAGTGGGGAGCCGCCGGAATCCTTAGCAGAAAGGGATGGAGGAGGAACGAGTCCTCCAGAAAAAGGGACACACGAACACTTTCAGGAAACGCACATGTTTTCAGGAAACGAGGCCCCACCGGCACCGCTGCTTCTTGAGGAGGATGAAGAAGGAATCAGATCTCGTGAAAGTGATGGAGAGACACGCTGGGGTCCAGGGACGGAAATGCAAGAGGCAGGGAGGTCTCTGGAAGCGGAGAGCAGAGAGGCCTGGAGACAGCTCGAAGAGGGGAGTCAGGAGTTGCTGAACTGCCCAGAAGCCGAGAACCAGGAGGCTGATTTATCCGCAGACAAAGAGAATCAAGAGCCACCGAAGGAGGCGCTCGAAGATGCACCGCAGGAGACGTGGGGACCTGCAAAGGAGATGCAGGAGCCCCTCAGCACGCCCTCAGGTGGGGACCCAGAGACCTGGGCAGCGCTGGAGAAAGAGAAGCAAGAGCCACTGAGGGCTCCTGATGAGCAGAACCAGCAAGATGAGGGGGCTCTGGAGAGCGGGGCTGGGCAGCCGTCGGGGGTCCTGGGAGATGGCAGAGAGCAGGCGTGGACAGCAGAGCCACCGGCCTCTCCTGGGCAGGACTCGGAGCCACTGAACCCTCTTGAAGAAGTGACTCAGGAGTCGTGGTCCCAGGAAGAGGGGAGTGCAGAGACCGTGAGAGCCTCGGGAACGGAGACTCACGGACTGCTAGGGTCTGCGAGAGAAGAGCTGGGCATGGCTGCCCCTCCAGAAACACCAGAGCCCACGTGGCCTCGAGAAGACCTGAGTCAGGAGTCGGCAGAGCCTCTGGAGAAGGGAGCTGAAGACTCCCTAGGGTTTGTGGAGGAGAAGCAGCGGCCACAGAGAGCACAGGACGAGCAGAGCCAAGACTCCCTGAGCTCACCGGATGAGGCAGACGAGGAAGGGGCCGGGGGCCTGGCAGAGAAAGTGAGGCTGGAGCAGGAGGAGGAGCAGGAGTCACCTATGTGTCCACAGGAGAAACTGCTCCAGTCTGCAGCTGAGGATCTGCAGAGATGGGCAGATGGGGGCGGGAGAGAACAGGCAGCTTCAGGGAGGGCCGGAGCGGACAGTGATGATGAGCCGGACCTGGGCTTGAGGGAGAGCCCAGCAGGGAAGGAGTCTTTGGGGCAGGAAGGGGTGCTGCTGGCCACCGCAGGAGGCACCGGGCCCACTGAAGAGGGCCACCCCAGCAGCCCGGGACCCGAAGAGCAGGCCCCAGCCCAGGGCGCCCTCGGGGATGGAGGCGCTGAGGGGGCCCTGGGGGCCTCAGACCTGGCTGTTCCCCAGGAAGGGCCAGAGGGCGTAGGGCCAGTGTGGAGCAATGTAGAGGCTGCCCCGTGGGGCTGTCCACAGGTCACCTGGGGGGCAGAGGCAGCTATGGGGACCTCTGCTGTTGGAGAGGGCCAGGAGCAGGGGCTTGGCGACCTGGGGGATGCAGGTCACCAGGCCAGGGAGGAGGTGGGGGAGGAAGTTTCAGAGGAGGCGAGGCTACAAGTCGCGGAAGAAGCCAGGGAAGGTGTAGGGGCGACTCTGGAGTCGGGGTTCTCACCACCACTTGGGAGGGCCTGGGACCCCGCAGACACGCCCACGAGCTGGGAGGAGCCCATCCCTGGGCACCAGGAGCGGGGTGACACCCCTCAGCCCGGGCTCCCTGGGGACCAGGAGCAAAGTGACACCCCTCAGCCTGGGGTCCCTGGGGCAGTGATGAAAACTGCTGAGGCTGAACCCCCAAAGCCCCTGTCTCCCACTGAGGTCCCCCAAGACAGCCTCAAGCCCCAGCCCTGGGCAGAGGGAGGCCAGGAGGCCTATGGAGGGCTAGAGGACAAAGTGGGAGCTCTGGGGGTGGATGGTGAGCAGGAGCTGGGTTCTGGGGGGCTCCTGGAGGAGGAGGAGGAGGAGGAGAGCAGAGACGAGAGTGAGGCTGACGAGCTCAGCGAGACCCTGCCGGACTCCACCCCTCTAGGCCTCTACCAAGGCTCCCCAGCCTCCCCAGTCTGGGCCCCAGCTGGAGAGCAGAGGCCCTCCCCTCCGGGTGACACCCTGGAGGAGCAGCCCCCCACTGCCCTGGCCCATGAGGGCCTACAGAGCCAGCCTTGGGCGGAGGAGCAAGAGGAGGAAGGGGGCCGTGAGTCTGAGCTGTCAGAGGAGTTTGAGGACCTGGCCACTGAGGCCTCTCTCCTTCCTGGGGCCCCCCGGGGGCTCACAGACCCCCAGGAGCAGGGGTTCCCGAGGGAGCCTGCAGCCTGGGAGGGCGAGTCTGATGGGTTTGCTGATGAGGAGGAGAATGGGGAGGATGGAGAGGAGGACAGTGGGGAGGATAGAGGGGAGAATAGGGAGGATAGAGGGGACAGTGGGGAGGATAGAGGGGACAGTGGGGAGGATAGAGGGGACAGTGGGGAGGATAGAGAGGAGGATAGTGAGGAGGAGGGGGAAGAGGAGGAGGATAGAAAGGAGCTCGCAGCCTCTACTGGTGGCCCTGAGAGAGGATGCCCCCTAGAGTCTGGGGACAAGGACTTGGGTATCCCAGGGGACGCAGGCTGGGGGAACACTGAGACCTCGAGCTCTAAGGAGGACTCTGACTCTGTGCCCTCGGGGAAGGACCCCCTGCTCCTTCTCGGGGTGGGGCAGGTGGGCCTAGATGCGGGGATGCCTCTGGGGGTGAATGGCCAGGGCCCCAGCTTGCAGGAGGAGCTGGAGCACGTGAATGGGGGAGTGATGAACGGGCTGGAGCCAGCCGAGGAGGGTGGCCAGGGGAAACTGGGGACCACGATGGGGGATCAGCAGGGCCCCCTGGAGGAGGTGGCAGGCACCCTGAAGACCCCTTGGGCAGGGGCTACCCTGAATCTGGGCCCAGGGCAGTTCCTACAGTTTACCCAGGGGGAGGGGGAGGGCGACTCCTGGTCCTCCGGGGAGGACTGAAGCAGGTCTTGGCCCGGCCCTATGCAGGTCTGCACCCAACATGATCTCTTGACCCATGGCTTCTGTCTGAGGGGCCTGACCGGTCAAAGTGAAATGGAGTGTGGCCAGAGGACCGTTCCAGGCAGAGGGGACCCTGAGACTAGAGGCTGCCCCCAGATCCCACAGAGTGGTCTCACAGCACCTGAACCCCTAGAGTCAGCCCTGGCCCCTTCCCGACAGGTCAGCTGGCAAAGGCCAGACCTGGGGATGCCTGAGAGGTGTGGGGGGCGGGTCTTCCTGCCCCGTTCCTCCTGGGCTGTCTCTGATGTCAGTGACCCTCTGGGTGCACTGTGTTCTTTGTCTCCCCTGACCATTCCTGCCTGAATAAAGGAGTGTCCCCACTGCCAAGTCTGATTCTTCCTTTCCCAGTCCAGGGGTTGCCTGGGCTGCCGGGAGGGGCTGGGGTGTGGGGGGAGAGGAGGGAAAGGCAGCCCGTCCACTAGGGACCGGGCATGCAAGGGTGCTGCTTGTCTGGGGGCCAGTCCAGGTGACCTCAGCCTTAGAGCCACCCTGTCATCTGTCCCCAGTGATTATAGCCATTACCCACCCCATCCACCGTGTCCTCCCTGCAGGCCCCTCAGTGCCGCCAGTGTAATGAGCCCTTTTGCCCCCCAGACCCAAACAACTGTCTGGTCTGGTCAGTGATGTATGTGGACGAGGTGGGAGGGGCGGCAGGGTGCTTGCCCAAGTCAGGCTGTGTGGCTTCGGGCTAGTGATGAGCCTCTCTGGACCCTTGGTGAGGGACCCTAGGCCAGGAGAGAGAGCAGGAGGGACTGTGGAGGGGCTTCAGGCCTTGTCTCCCAGGAGTGTCTCTGAGAGGCTAGCAGCAGAGGGGCCAGTGCAGCAGGGCTCGGAGCAGAGTTAGGGTGCTTCCAACTAGGACCCTAAGGATGCACACCCAGCCACAGCTCTCTGACAACACCCCCCCATACACACACACACACACACACACACACACACACACACACACACACACACACATTCATTCTCTGGGTCCCTGGGTCAGGCTGGAAGCTCTGAAGTCAGGGTCCCCAAATAGAAACCGCTCCCAGCTCAGCAGCAGGGAAGCATCTGGTGACACCTCCCGCCAGCCCAGTGGGGGTGGGGGGTGCCGGACAAATGTGCAGGCCCTGGAGACAGTCTGTCAGGGATTAGGCCCTTCCGTCCTGCGGGGAATGCCACGCTGCTGTCCGGCCCCTCGGGCCTCCTTCCTGGCCCCACTGTCTCCTGGCCACTCCCTTCTCTGGCCAGAGGCCTTGGCTGCCCAGACCACCCCCCCCCCCCCCCCCCCCCCGTTTCCCAGTCACCCCACCCTGGGGGTCCTGGTTCCTGTGTCCTCACCCATCACCCCTTTCTTCCAACAAAGCCCCGGGCTCCCTCCCGCCCACACTGAGGAAGTGCTGAGCACCCAGGCCCTGGGGCACCCCTGCCTGGGAGAGGGACCAAGGACAGAGGCTCTGCCAAGCCTTCCCGGGATCTGGGCACCCATCCTGGCCCTCAAGGCACCCCACGCCAGCCCATTCTTCAAGCAAGGAGGGACATGCAGTGGACAGGCCGGCCTGGAGCCCAGGGTTTGTACCCCCAGCCAGGCAGGCGGCAAGGGCCCAGGGCTCTGGCTGGGGGCTTGTCTTTTACCACCCAAAGACTCAGCTGTTACTGCAAGCCCAGGGGACAAGGACTTCTGAGAAGAAACCATATTCAAAACCAGGAGAGGGCCAGAGAGAAAGGACGGCAGGGACATACATGGCTGACTGGGGCTCAATCCCGGCACCCCCAAGAGTGATCCCTCAGCACAGAGCCTCGAGTCCTGGGCACTGCCAGGTGTGGCTGAAAAACCAAAATATGTGAGAAAGGAATGGAATGGGAAGGAGGTGTAGGGTTGTGATCTGCTGTGGGGGGGGGGGGGGAGGTGAGTTTGCGGAGGGGGCGGCAGATTCTGATCTATGCACCTCTGGGCGCTGCAGAATCCAGGGGCACTCTAGTATCTCCAAGAGGAGTGGCCCCAGGGTGGAGGGTGGAGCTCAGGCAAGGGGACCAGGTAAGGGGAGCTTTTGGGCTGGGCAGGAGAGGACGGTAGGGAAGACACTTGCATTGCCACATTCAGCCCAGCTTTGCTCCCTGACCCCCCCTCCCCCATAGGGTCCCCTGAGCCCAGGAATGATTCCTGAGCACAGAACCAGGAGCAAGCCCTGAGCACCACTGGGTATGGTCCCTAACTTATTTATTTTATTTTCAAACATTGTTTAAGTATTTGGGGGCTCACTGGGCTACAGGGGCCCAGAGAGCTCCTCCTAGAGGGGAGACACCTGGGCAGGAACAGGACGGGCATCCCCAGAGCAGGGCGGGAGGATGGGGGTCTCCTCGGGAAGCGGAGTCCGGGCTGGTGCTGCAGTCAGTTGGGCTCCGGTCGCGCAGGATGAGGTCAGAGCAGGAAGCACTGGGGAGAGGAGTCCCCACAGGAGTCGCCGCCCACTCGGCCCCCAGCAGCAGGACCAGGGGGAGGTTATTCTGGGACCTCCTCCGGGTAAATATAGTCCGGGTGGGGGGCCGAGGTGGCTTCCTCGATTTGTTTGGGGCTCTTCCATATAAGGCCTGCAGGCTGCGGCGCCGCCGCCGCCGCCGGGGTGAGGTCAGAGCTGAGTCCGACTCTACCCGGCCTGATGCGGCCGCCTGCTGGGGCTCCGCGGCGGAAATCAAAGTCCAGCACTTGGGGCTCGGGCCTCTAGGGGCAGAGGGGCTTCTTAAAGGGGCCGCAGCCTCCGGCCTGCACTGGGCGGCCAGGCCGCGGAGTGCCGCGGCGGAGGGACCTCCCCCACCTCTCTCCCACACCTCCCAACCAGACCCCATCCTGCGCCCCTCCGGGGGCGACCAGCTGCTGCCCCTAGCCCCATAGGGTGCCAGCTGCCGCGGGCACGGCCGACAGGCGGGGCAGGAGGAATGCAGCTTTATTCGGGCTGGAATGTGCCCTCTGGGCGGTCTGAGGAAGGGCCGGGACTGCCCAAGCCCCCAACACTGGGAGCACTAGGGAAAGGTGGGTGACGGCCCCACCCCTGCTCCACAGCAAGATTCAGAGCCCAGCAAGCCGGGCAGGAAGCCAGGCCTGGGGACCCCCGGGGAGGCAGGGAAGAGAGGGCTTCCGGTGCAGACAGCTCAGGGGATAGATAAGCAGACCCTGGGCCCCCCAATCCTAGCCTGCAATAACCTACAATAACCAGAGAGGGGCTGGAGAGCACAGTGGGTTGGGTGCTGGCCTTGCGCACTGCAGTTCCATCTGCGGCACCCCATAGGGTCCCCTTGAGCCCACGGGAAGTGATCCCTGAGTGCAGAATCACTCAGGAGCAAGCTCTGAGCACTGCTGGGTGTGTCCACCGCAAAAAGTAGAAATAAAAAACGAAGGTGAGAGGCACATGGGAGAATGCAGGGCAGTCTAGGAATAGGGGGCCTAGGGGGCACAGAATGGGGACCCCGACCTGGGAGTTAGGACAAGGTGCTCTCTTCCCCTCTCATCCAGCACCCTGCGTCCACTTCACTCAGGCTGGACTCTGTCTGAAACGTGGGGCGCTGCCTCCTGCACCCCCAGTCCTTCCCCCTGCTGGGGTCGCCTGTGGGTGCCCTGCCCTCCTCTGCTCCCCTCGGGATCCTGGTCCTTAGACCCCAGCCCAGTTCTAGAGCTTTCTTCCTCTCTTCCAGACTTCTCATTCCTTCACAGACACCCCCGCTTTCCCCAACCCCCGGCTTTCAGCTGTGGTTCCAGAAATAAACTGGCAGGTGCGGTGGGTATGGGGGGCACTGTCTAGGAACTGGCAGCTGGTGGTCAGCTGTCTTGGGGACCCCAGGGAGGCCCTGGACCCCTCTGGAGTCTGGGGCTCATCCTCTGGCTTAGGAGGGACACCCCTCCCTGCTAGGTCCTCTCACCACTCGCCCTGCTTGCACCCGTGCCCCCCCTTTCCACTCCTCCTCTGCCCTTCACCTCCTTAGGGATCACTCCTGGCAGTGCTTGGGGGGCTGTGCTTGGGGGGCCCTACGCAATGTCGGAGCATCAAACCCGGGGTTGGCTGTGTGGTGGACTAAGGCCTGCACTATCTCTTGGGCCCCTCCGCTTCCTTTTCTCTCTCCTTTATCCAATTATTTGCTTCTCCTTTATTAGGAAACTATGTTGGAAGGAACTTCAATATGTCTCAGTGGGGAAACTGAGACAGAGTGACACACTATGTGAGTCATACCAAGAGTCCCTGGAAGCCACTTTTGGTTCCATAGAACAGGGGAAGGGGCTGTGAACCACTCCCCTTGGAAGCTCCCGTCACGGTGGTCTACGGTTCCCCTCAGTTAAGAAGAGGAGGGCAGGAGAGGAAAGACAGCAGGCAAGGCACGCGCCTCGCACATGACCAGTCCGTGTTCAATCAATCCCTGCATCCCACAGGGTTCCTGAGCCCCCCAGGAGTGACTGCTGAGCTCAGAGCTGGGAGAGAGCCCTGAGCACCACTGGGTGTGACTCAAAAGCCAAAACCAAAATCAAAAAAGGAAAATAGGGGGACTAGAGCGATAGGACAGTGGGCATTTGCCTTGCATGCGGCTGACCCGGGTTCGATTTCCAGCATCCCATATGGTCCCCCGAGCACCGCCAGGAGTGACTCTTGAGTGCAGAGCCAGGAGTAACCCCTGAGCATCGCCAGGTGTGACCTCCCCCCCCAAAAGAAAAGCAAATAAAAGTAAAGTAGGGGCCATGGAGACAGTGCAAAGGGCCAGAGAGCATGTCTGGTATGCATAGGATCCCCAGCACCCCATATATACTCCCACATGCTGCTGGCGTGGCTTTGGTTGCATGCTGGACCCAAGCACCAAACGAGTCAACCTAGCACCACTGGAAGTGGTCCCTGGTACCCCGGCACTGCCAGGGAGCCCCCAAAGACGAAGGGAGAATTATCAGAGTGGGTCAATGCTGAGGTGACAGCATGTGGGGGCCCAGTCAGAGCATGGCCCATCATGGGGGCATCCTCAGGCCCTGCCCTCTTCCCCGGAGGGGCCCCACCCCACACTCAGCCCAGCAGAGGGCCCAGTGCAGGAAAGCCCTCCACCCACAGGCCGGGTGCTGAGCATTTCTGGGAATCTTGGGGAGCTGCTGTGTCTGACAGGCAGGCCGCACAATGGGGCCCTTTCTCTGCTGTGCATGGACAGGCCCCCAGAGAGACCCGGCTGGAACAAAGGCCCAGTGAAGAGCCACACTGAGCTGGGTGGGACGGTGGAGAGTGCCGGAAGGAACAGGGAGATGGCAGGACACGGGTTGATGGCGACCCTGGGAGGTTCCTCTCACTGGGCCCTGACTTTTACCTGGGTAGGTCTCCCCATTCCACAGACACAGGGCCAGGGAGACCGGACAGTGGGGAAGAAGTTTGTCTTGGACACAGTCAACCTGGGTTCAATCTCCGACATCATATAGGGTCCCCTAAAGCTCGTCAGGAGTGATCCCTGAGCACAGAGCCAGGAGTCAGCCCTGAGCAATGCTGAGTGTGGCCCTCCCCACCCAAACCCATCCTAGACGCTGCCTACTCACAGGCCTTCCTCTCCAGGGAACGGGAACCTGGGAAGCCTATTCTAGACGTGTGAGACGGACACACATGGAAACATAGGTCAGGTCTATGTGTGCTCTGGAGGCGGAGGGCAACATGGTGTTCCTAACTCAGCTCTGGCCAATGGCCGTAGGGTTGATGGGCCAGTTCCCTTCCCTAAGAGAGGTCAGACACGCACACTCATGCACACACAGAGGCAAACATGGACACAAATACACGAGCACACACATGCACACACAGACAGACTCATGGACACAGATATACGAGCACACACAGACACACATACTCATTGGCACACTCAGGCACACACATGGCCAGGCTGGACTCTCCAGGGTGCTGCGTCATCCCTGGCCAGCTCTCCCTCCGCAGGAAGTCCCACAAAGCCAGGAGAAGCTTGGGTTTCCGGCCCGCAGCCCAGTAGGTGAGCAGGTCGGGGCGAGGATCAGGAAGGAGCTTCCCCTCCCTGCACCCCACTGCTGTGGCAGCTGGTGAGAAGGTGCTGATGACAGACCCCCTGTTAGCACCGGGAATCCCAGCCTGCCATCAAAAGTCCATCTCTACTTCCCCGAGAACCCCCAAACAGACACCCACCCCACTCTGCCTTTTCTTCCTCAGACTCTGCCTCCAAAGGTCCATGTTAGTCTTTTTTTTTAGTTTGATTTGGGGGTCACACCGGGGGTGCTTGGGGTCCTGGGGGCCAAGGCTCCCACATGCATGGCATGCCCTTCAACCTGTTGAGCCCCACCTGCTCCCAGTCTACTGCCACTCCAGCTAGATGCCTCAAAATTCCTAAACGTGTGATTGCAGAGTAGCTTAGGATAAAAATGGGGTCCACTCTGGCCCCATGACCACTGTCTTAGGAAACAATCTTATTCCCTGGCCTGGCTGAGCTATGAGGAGTGGGCACAAGTGGACCCGGAGAGCTTGGGAAAACACAGAACCACAGCAAGAGGTGGGGCTGGGAGGTCAGTGCTGTGGCTCAGAAACAGGGGCTTGGGGATTAAATTGAGAGAGGTCAAGAGGGTCAGAATGATAGTACAGCCAGAAGGGCATTTGCTTTGTTCATGGTTGACCGGGGCTCAATCCCTGGCATCCCATATGGTCCCCTGAGCAACACTAGGAATAATTCCTGCAGAGCCAGGAATAACCCCTGCACATTGGTGGGTGTGACTCAAAAAGAAAAAAAATATTGAGAGGCCATGAGCTGGAAAGATGCTCAGCCGGCTGGAGCATGCGCCGTTTGTGCAGGAGACCCAAGCTCAATCCCTTGCTCCGCCTGGACCCCAGAGTACCACTAGAACCAATCCCCAAGCACTGAGCCAGGAGAAGCCCTGAGCACTATCAGGTGCAAACCAAAAAACAAACCAAAAGAAATAAGCAAAATATGGAGAAGTTCCGCGAGCTGGTCTCAGAGAGAGCCTGGGCCTCTTCACACCACTCTCAGCTTTGCACTCTGTATCATCTCTTCATTTTAACAGGTTTTATTGACTTCTAGGAAAAGGAGTAACTGCCCATGTGGGGGCTGTCCGGGATAACTTAAAGGACCAGAGCTCAAGTTTCACAAGTGGGAGTCCCAGTTCCATTTCCAGCAGTGAATAGCCCCCAGCACCTCTGGGAATGGCCCTTAAGCACCAAGCTGGAAGTAGCCCTGAGCCCCATGGGATGTGGCCCCCAAGCAAACTTCCTATGTGGGTGAGCATGGTATAATGTGGCACAGGCATGATAATGCACACATGCTGTGTGCAAACGCGTGTGCCTATGAGTGTAAGTGTGAGACATAAGGTTCACCATGTGGCCAGAGAGATAGTACAGGGGCTAAGGCGGTTGGCATGTACCCCACCTGACTCAGGTTCCAACTGCCAGCATCACACAGGGTCTCCCAAGCCTAGCCAAGGGTTACTGCTGAGCCAGAGCCAGGAATAGCCCCAGGACAGGACAGCTGGGTGTGGTCCCCCATCAAAGAAAAGATTCACCCCATGAAGGAGGCAGTTTGCAAAATAAAGACATCATGAAGCCTGACCATAAGACACAAAAAGGCACAATTGTGAGCCCAGCAATAGGGTGCACAGACAACAGACACACCCAGCTCACTTATACACAGTCGGTCATTCTCTCCCCAGGTCTGGGAGTGACCTCATCATCCCGACCTCCGCTGACTCACAGCCTCCGGCCAGCTCAGCCGCCCAGAAGTCTGACGCTCCCCTCCACCTCGCCCCGCCCCCATACTGCCCGGGGCGCCCCCGGAAAAAAAGGGTCTCAGCACCCCCTGGCGGCTTCCTGGGGCATCGCACTCTCCTCCCCGGCCTCCAGGCACGCACGCGCACACACACAGAGGTCCCACCGTGGTCGGGTCTCCGGCGCCCTCTGCTGGCCACAACCCTTGAGTGCCACAGGTCTCACCCGGGGTGGGCAGTACTGGGGGACCTCTCGTCTGCCCAAATTTTATATTTATTTCCCTATTCCCGAATCCCGATCCGCGCCCGCTAAGAGTCAGCTTCCTACAGCCTTCTTTCTCACACTCTCTTGAGAGACCCCGAGCTCCTGCACCTCCCTTCTTTCTGGGGAGAAGGGGATCCCACTCTGGGTTCTTCAGCTCCTGTTCTCTGCCAGGCACTGTTGCAGTGATGGACATTGCCGCTGATACGCACGGAGGAGCTCTGCGGAGGTGCGGTCTGGCCAAACCCTGAAGGATGCATCCGAATCTTTTGGGCTCAAATGCAGCTTTATTTCCTGCGGGTCTGAAATGCTCTTTTTGAAAAATGGAGACAGGGTGGGCACAGCAGCTCAGCGGCTGGCAAGAAGAGGGCGGTTGAGGCACTTCTGGACTTACTCAGGTCCTGAGGAAAAACCTGATGTCCCAGGGATGGGGGAAGGGCCCAGATATTCCCAGAAGCCCAGCAAGTACTGCTGTCTGGACTCCAGCACCCCCCTCAGACTGTCACTTCCTGCGTGGGAAGAGCACAGGTTCCAGGGAGGGCTCAGGAGAGGCAGGCTAGGCATCCCCTGCAGCAGTCCACACTTCATCCCCAGGGCCTCAGAGGCAAACGGGAAGGAGGGGTCAGCGGCACCTTCCAGCGCCCCAGTGGCTTCTTCTGTTTGCTTTCTGGGGCCTTGAAAGGGGGCAGTGATCGGGCCTGGGAAGACACACACAACACACACACACATATACACTCAGCCTCCGCGTGGGCTCTGCCCTGCTCTCCCCAGAACCCACCCTCTGTACTTCTTGCTCCTCGGCCCCCAACCTCATCAAAACACTTGGCCTGGTTCAACCTGTAAGAACGCAGAGTTAGGCCAGAGGGAGCTCAGAGGCCTGGTGCATAGGCTTTGCATACGGGTGACCCAGGTTCAAGCCACCCCTGGGAGCACTGTGTTGAATACTGAGCCAGAGCAACCAGTAAGCATTGCCACAGGTGACGCTCCCCCCCTCCCCCCGCCAATCCAAAAGGAAAAGAGCGGCTGGAGAATGTGCATGTCCTCAGACACCAGCCCCACCTGCTTCCTTCCCTCTATCCCATGAGAGGGACAGTGCCCAGGACAGTCCCAAAGCCAGCCATGACTGGCACAGAGGACTAGGCCCCGGATTCCATGGCGGCACCCACCGTTCTCCTGCTGGCACTCGCATGGCCGCGCGGCACACAGGAGATCTGGGGAGTCTCCCAGTGCCCATCCTCCTGGCAGCGGATCAGCGGCAGGTTGCGCTGGGCCAGCCCCTCCTGGCACTGGTAACGCAGCACCGTGTCCACCTCGTAGCGTAGCTGTGGGCGGCCGAAGACTAGGGCCAGGGGCAGCTCTGGGGGCGGCCCGCAGGACACTGCAGGTGAGGGGACACAGTCAGGGGGCCTGACTCTGGAGTGATGGTCCCAGCGTTGGGGTGAAGAGGAGATGCATGAGCTAAACTGCCGTTAGAGAAAAACAGGGGTCCAGGGCCATGGTACAGGAGGTAGAGAGGGCGCTCCCTTGCACATGACCAACTCAGGTTCCATCTGTGGCACCCCATATGGTCCCCTGTGGCCTGCCAGGAATGACCCCTGAGCACAGAGCTAGGAGTAAGCCTGCGTAGTGTGGGGTTGTTGCCCCAAAGAACACTCCCAGAATGCTGGTGGAGCACTGCACTCACTGAGACACACACACACACACACACACACACACACACACACACACACTCTCTCACGTCAGCCCCCCTCCTAGCCACCTCCTGTTTCCCCTAGCCCTCACCCAGCCCCATCTTGCAGGTGTAGGACAGGTGGTAGTTGCAGGGCACGTCACTCCACTGGCCCTCATCATGCCACACCATGACCACGCAGTTCTCGCCGGACAGGAAGTAGCTATCGGGCTGTCCAGGGTGCCAGTTCTCATAAAGCTGCCAGGGGTGGGAGGAAGTGATGAGGAGCCCCAAAGGGACACTGGGGCAGGGGCTCGGGGCTGGGGGAGGGCCGGAGAAGGAATCATGGAGCATCAGGAGATAGGATTGAGGGGTAGGGGATACTCCGTGCAGGGGAGAGGAGGCCAGGGACTTTGAGGGGGAATAATGAGAACAAAAAAGGAAGAGCAAAGCCGGATCAAGAGATAGCAGAGTGAGTAAGTCACTTGCCTGTGTGTGGCTAACCCGTGTTTAATCCCTGGCACCCCAAATGGCTCCCTAAACACTGCCTGGAATGATCACTGAGAGCAGAGCCAGGAGTAAGCCAGTGGACCAGAGGTAAGTCCAGAGCATCACTGGGTATGGCCCCAAAACAAAACAAAACAAAACAAAATCAAACAAAAACAGGACCAGTACAATGGGTCTCTTGTTTTGGACACAGTTTGATCCCTGGCATCCCTTATGGTCCCCTGAACCCCTCCAGACGTGATCCCTGAGCAGCAGTAAGCCCTGAGTATCACTGGGTGTGCTCCCCCCCAAAAAAAACCAAAAACAAAAAAACCCAAAAACAAAACAAAATAAAAGAGAGGAAAGAGCTAGTGACAATAGAAGGAAGGAAGCAGCTCAGAGAAGTTGTGGCAGGGCTAAGGGAAGGAGTCAGAAAAAGAAGACGGAGACCCCGGGGCTAGGGCAGACATGCTTCCAAGACAGCGAGGGGCAGCGGGCGTCTCACCAGGGGTACTCCATCTGACCACAGGAAATCGCCTTCGATGATCCTGTCGTTGAGTCCGATCCACTGGTATTCTCGGTATCGATCTGGGAAGAACCGCACGGGTCACGCCGGGTGCAGTAAGCTCCGCGGCCAGCAGGTGGCGGCATCCCCCCGCACCGGGCTACGGTGGGCACAGCAGCCGAAGTCCGAGGCGCCCGCACCCCGACCCCGCGCGGCCCACTTTTCTTCTCCCTTCAACCTCCGCAGGGAGCGGAAGGAAGCCGGGGTATGGGATTGAGGGAAGAAGAAAAGGGAAACTCCGGGAGAAAGCGTAAACGCTCTCGGCGGCGGCAGAGCTAGGGAAGCAAAGGGACGGAGGCCCGGAGTCACCTGATGAGCCACGCGAACTCAGCCCTCCCCTGCCCGAAGCTCCCTGGCCACGTGCGGAGCGGGGGCGTGGCAGGGGGAGCGGAGGGAGAGAGACGGGAAAGCGAATGAATGCATGCATGAATGCGGGAAATCAAGTAAGAAGGGTCTGGAGTCTAGAACACAAAGTAAAGTGACACGCTCCGCGAGTCCTCGATTGGCTAGCGAGGGCGTGAGCGTGTGCTGAGAGCAGACCACCGGTCGCCCCGCCCGGCCCCAGCCCACTGTTGATGAAGTCCTGCTCCTCGGGCGTGCTGATGCTGGCCAGGTGCGCGCCGTGTTGCCGGCACTGGCTCTCTGCCTCCTCCCAACTCCGCCGCGTGGAAAAGTGCTTGTAGCAGGCGCCCTGGAAGGCGTCCCAGCCGGGGCTGCAGGAGCGGAGGCCTGGGGCACAGAAGAGCGGGCCACTGAGCTCGAGGAACCCGGGAATCTGGAGGAGCCAGGTCCCCAGGGAAGGACCGGGACCCTCCCACCCGCACAGTCCGGGAGAGCTCCCGGGCGCGGATAGCTAGAACAGGGGCTGGGGTCGGAGGGCGAGGCCAGACAAGGATGGGCGTGGTCATGACAAGAGGGTGGGGCCACACTAGTGGGCGGGGTTGTGGTGAGTAGGCGGGGTCAGCGTGGGAGCGGAGGGAGGAGGGGCGGGGCCAGACAAGAGTGGGTGGGTCGGGCAAGAGTGGGCGGGGTCAGAATAGGAGGGGCGGGGTTATACAGGAGGGCGGTGGGTTTCAGGATAGGAGGGTAAGGCCAGTTCTCTCCAGCCTGGGACAGAACTATCTGGAAGGTCGGTCGGGATTCCACTGTGGCCAGGAATGGAGTACACACACACACGTAGACACACATGCACACGCATGCGTGTACACACTCCAGAGACCCAAGTATGCTTGCGGTCCCATTTAACGGCTGAAATTGAGGTGGCCTCAAAGGGAATGGTATTTGCCCCAGAGGGGCCCCTTCATTCATGAAGAGTCTTAGCCCAGGGTGCCCTCTGCTCAGGAGCCTCTCTTCAGGCTTCCCGTGCCCCCCAGCCCACCCTCCTCACACTCACCAACATCGCACAGGTGCCCCCCATAGCCAGGCAAGCATATGCAGCGGACCCCCTCATCCTCCTCCAAGCATGTACCACCATTGTGGCAGGGGCTGGGGACACAGTCACCTGAAGGGGAGGGGAGAGAAGAGAAGGGAGGGGGCAGGCTGAGCCCTTCAGGACCAGTACAAACCCCAGCCCTGTCCCTTGTCCTGGGACAGATCTAAGTCCTGTGACTCCCCCAGAATCCCTCACTGCCCAGCTTCCCCCAGCCCAGCCCGTTGGTACTCTCCATATGGACAGCCTCAGCTCTCTGGGGATCTGAGGGGACTCAGGACACCCCCTACTGGAGCAAGGGCTTGTTTGGCAGTGCATGGCACTGGGCATCCTTTCTTCTCTAGGTCTGGGCTGAGCCAGCCCTCAGTAGTTCCTTTAGGTGAAGAGAGTAGTTGGGCCACCCCCGACAATGCACAAGGCTGACTCCTGGCTCTGTGCTCGATCACTCCTGATGGGGCTCACGAGACCCTTTGCTGTGCTGAGGATTGAATATGGGTCAGCCAAGTGTAAGGCAAGCGACTCCCCCGTCCTCTCCCCGTCTGCAGCAGTCCTGAACAGACCGATGTGTGGTGGATAGGAGAGGAGGTCCCCATTGTACCATGAGGGGTGACCTGCCCTTTACTGCTTCTAGGACCTGGTATTGGCGTGGCCTGGTGGGAGCTGACCATTATCCTGCTGTTCATGAGGCAGTCAGCTACAGAAACCCTCCCCTCCTCCTTCCCCTGCCATGCCAAGGATGAAGTTACAGGAGCTCCCAGTCCAGTGCACCCTAGCCCTGCTTTCTCTCAACACCACTCAACCACTTTGCCTCTCCTTCTTATCACCTCAGACTCCTCCTCTTTACCAAGGCCACTTCCCTGCTTCAGGCCTCAGCAGGTTGCCCAGTCTAGAAATCCCGCCTACCCATCTGGGGCCCCTCCTCCAGGCAGTTGGCTTAGACTAACACCCTCCCCGGAAGGCCTGCAGTCTGTTATATGGAACCAGCTCCATCTGGCTGGGCCATGTGACCTCCTCTGGACTCTCTGGGTCCTGGAAGGGGACATGTTTGTCCTTGAGTGCTGGAGGGTGTTGCCAGAGTCTGACCTTTCCTGTTGGGGTAACCCAAGGGGAGGTAGCGCCCTGAGCAGCAGTGAGGTCAGAGCCCTTAGGCCGGGCGTTCAGACCCTCCCTCAGCAGGGCCCTTTCTGCGCCATCCACCCCAAGGCCAAGACAAGGCCAATACCCATAATGCTTCGCTCTGGCCCAGGTCTGCCTGCACAGTGGGAGCGAAACAGAGGCTGGAGTCGATTCAGAGAAACCCTCTGGGTTGGCCTGGCTGTTTTGGGGTAAAAATCAATCAGCTGTTCCAGCCCCACTTCCAGAATCATCTCCCTCCTGCCAAGAGCTTCTTTCAAGCTGAGGTTGGTAGGTGCTCCCCACCCCACACCCCTGCAGAGTGAGGGGGAAGTCTTTTATTTAACCCATTCTGCACCAGGCCCCACAGGAGTTCTGAGCCCTGCCTGCCCCCCTTGCCAGCTCCTCCTGCGTCCTCTCCACTCTCCTCTCTAACTGTGGTGTGGGAGACAGACACAGATATAGCCCGAGTGACGGGTCCTAGATTTCCCTCCCCAGGGTGCAGGTGGCAGAACCAGAACCAGGATGATTCACGTGGGGTGAAGGGACTCTTGGCCCTTCTGCCCTCCCTCTCTCTCTCTGGGGTCAGCTGCTGTGCACGCAGGAAGCTTGTCCTCCTCTTCTGCAGCTAGAGCAGGCCAAAGGCCCTCTACCTCCTCCCCCAGGCAAGCGGGCAGGGGGACAGCTCAAGGGGATGAGCACAGGCTTGGGCTGTGGGAGGCTGGGGATCCATCCCCACTACTGCTGCATGCCGGGAGTGACCCCCGAGTACAGAGCCAGGGATAGACCCCCAAGCACCACCAGGTGGTGGCCCCCAAATCAAACAGGACTCGGTGGGCACGTGTAATGCTGCTCTCTTCCCAACAACACCTGCTCCCCACTCTGCTCCCTCCCAGAAACTCTCACAAGCTTTAAACTCCCAGGCCAGGCTGGGCAGGTTGCCAACCCAGGCAGGGTGCAGGGTCCGCTGACAGCAGGAGGTCCTAGGACTGGAAGGAGGACCCCAGGCTTCTCCAGAGCGCCCCTGGGAAGCTCAGCCTTCTCTGTGTAGGTGGGGTTTATCTTGGACCCCAGAACCTGACACCCCATTCCTCTCCTTCTCCAAGGCCATCTGCCTCCCCACTGTGTCTGCAGCTCCGGGATCTGAGATATTTTGGGCCAGGATAGGTGAAACCGTTCTTTCTAGAGACTAGGGGTGATCATTAGTGCAGGGGTTAGTGGAGGTGGGGCTGTGGTCAGTGAGGGAAAAGTTAGAGTTGGCCCTCTGAAGAGGTACAGGGATGGGGGCGGGGGCACGCCTCTAGGCTAAGGCACCGTCTTCATCACTACTGCCTGGACCAGAAACAGACGCAGTACAGATGCATCTGCCCTTCAGGCCGCTGAAGTGTCCCCCCCCCCTCCGCCAAGGAATAAGGAACCACAAGTTCGGGGCTCCCACAGATCGGGTGAGGGGGGCAACGCCTTCTCTCAGGTCGTGTATCATACATGGCTGGGGGCTTGGCAGGCAATTCTGAGAAGCGTGGAATGAGGGCAAAGTGCGGGCGCTGTTAGACCACCGGACAGGAGAAATGCTGACTGCGAATGAATAGGGAAGAGGCAAAGAGACAAAGACAGGCAGAGAGGAGGGAGATGGGGGTGTGACAAAGAGAAGCATCCGAGAGTAGCCCCTGATGCGCGCCCATGGAAGGCTGCAGACAGAGGGGGCCAGAGGTTCTGTCATAAAGTGGTTTAATAGATTTATTTCCAAGGCTTGTTTTCCATGAAACAGTCGGAAAAAATTACTTCACAGAAGTAGTCGCTTAAGGCTCTGTGGGGGGATAAGGGCTCTTCCAGACCCCAGAGGTTGAAGGGCGGGGATGGGACCCCAGAGGCTGAGGGGTGGGGACGGGACCCCAGGCTCCCCCAATATCAGTAGGGGGGGCAGCTGAGGGGATGGGACATGGCAGCGAGGAGAAAGCCACAGGAGATGGGTCTGGGCCAGAGCTCCGGGAACCGATGTGCAGTGAGTGGCGGGTGGGAGACAGACACAGATACAGGCCTGTGATCTCAGATACTGGAGAGGGCTCAGGGAGGGGGCCGCGCTGTGGGATGGGGGGCCGGAGAGCTGGCATGGAGGTCACAGGGCAGAAGATCCGGAAGGAAGGCCTGCGGCAGGCGGCCGGTGGGAGAGAGAAGGCAGAGGACAGGCGAGAAGGGACCATAGCGGGTTAAAGGGCCTCAAGCCAGGCGGCCCAGAGTTTCAGGGGCAGGAGGAGGAGGAGAGCAGAGAGAGAGGCCGAGCCCTGGACAAAGTTACCTGACGAGGGGGCCACGGCCGCTCCGCCCCGGCTGCCGCTGTCCGTGGGCAGCACTGGCTGGGTCTGCCCGTTGCTCCCTGCTGGGACTGTCCTTCCAGAATTCTCTTCAGAGGGACCCTCCAGCTCCCTGGCACCTTCAGGGGCCCGCGTGGCGGGAGGCAGGGACAGGGCATCCTCGGAGCTTCCTGCCTCTTCACCCTCTCCTCTGGGGAGCCCAGAAAGCTCAGGAGCACCCGCCTGCACCCCCTCGCTAGCCCCAGCTGGGGTAGAAGGCGCTGGGGAGGCCAGGTTCCCCCTCCTGGGAGTGGGCAGGATCGCCAGGGGTGGTCCCAGGACCCTCGGGGGCTCCGTCTCTGGCTGTTGGCTAGGAGGTGGTGAGGCGCCGGGCTGGAAAGTTGCTCTGGCCCCGGTTGGCAGGGAAGCCTGGGACAGCCACTCCTCGGGGGGCTGCTTGGTGGGAACGGGGACCCTGGGGTCCGGGCTGCTGGGCTCCCCAGGCCAGGTCCACAAAGCCTCGTCCTCCACATCCTCCTCTTCCTCCTTGTACTCCTCTTCATCCTTGAGAGTTCGGCCTTCCTCTTCTGAAGACCCCGTGGGAGGTGCCAGGGATTGACTTTCAAACTCTAGGCAAAGAAGAGAGAGTTCAGCACCAGGGACAGCGGGCACCACGACCGCTGGACCAGGAGAAAAGGAAGTGCAAGGAGAGTGAGCGGTCAGGGAGGCAGGCGCTGGCAGGGGGAGGTGTGGGGGTGAGGACTGAGCCTCCCACCTGCAATAGAAGCGTTATTTGGCCATAATTCAATATCAAGGCTGAGAAGACGCCGAGCTGTTATTGGCTTCAGAAAAGTGAAAATCCTCAGGCCAGAGAGACAGTACAGAGGTTAAGAAGCTTGCCTTCCATGTGCTCAATCTTGGCTCCATTGCTGGAACCCTGTGGGGTCCCCTGAGTCCCACAGGGAATGATCCCTGAGCACACCCAGGTATAGTCCCCACTCTGAAACAATTTAAAATTCTCTAGTCTATTTTGAGGCTGGAGCAATAGCACAGCAGGTAGGGCGTTTGCCTTGCACGTGGCCGACCTGGGTTCAATTCCCAGCATCCCATATGGTCCCCCTAGAACCGCCAGGATTAATTCCTGAGTGCATGCGCTAGGAGTAAGCCTTGAGCATCACCAGGTGTGACCCAAAAGCAATAAATAAATAAATAAATAAATAAATAAAGTTCTCTAGTTTATCTTGTAAAACAGAGGGAGAGAAAGGACCCCAAACAAGAAGCCCCTTGTTCCCAGGGGCCAGTTCCTTAGTCTAAGCATCTCCAGACTTAGAGGGCTGGGAGTGGAATTCGCTGAGAGGGTTAAAGGTTGGGAGAGGGCCCTGAAAGATGGCCAGACCTCACTGAGCTGCCCCGGAAGGGCTGGCCGGTCCCTGATAGCCACCGCCTTACCTAGTGTCCTAGGGGCCTCTGCGGGGTCTTCCAGCGTGGAGCTCCCACCTGCCCCATCCTCGGGGATAGGGATGGAGTAGATGGCGCCACGGGATTCACTCTCCATGGCCTCTGGGGGCAGCTGCAGCTCCTTCAGGGTCTCGGTCACAGTGATAATGGTCTCCAGTGCATCAGGGTCCAGGCTGGGTGCCTCGGGGAGGGCAGAGGGCTGGGCAGAGTCTGTGGAAGAAGGAAAATGTCTGGGAGGCTGAGCCTTCCCAGGCCTCGGCCACACGGAGGCGGGGGCTGAGGTCAGCCTTGATTGAGGTTTGGGGCTCTTGCAGTTGTCCCCCATCTTTTCTGTGGGGTACTCACAGGGTGCTAGGAGCACCCGGGGACTTTGTCCTTCATTCCTTGATCCTTACTTTGTGTCCCACCCAGCTTTCTCCTGGGAACAAAAGAGGGACTGGCGGGCGAGACAGCAAGTGCCCAGGAGAGACGTTTCCTGGAAGGGCTGGTAGAGACAAAGGACAGGCCACTGACTCAGAACTTTGAGCCCCTGGGCTGGGCAGAGAGTGCTGGGGTCCTGGGGACCCCTGCCATGGAGGGGGCTGAAAGCCCCTAAGGGAGGTTCCTGGTGGGGCAAGAGGGCAAAGAGGGGCCTGGCTCCCCAAGACTGCTGGGGACTTAGCGGGGAGCGCCTTGTCTCTGGGGGAGGCGTCGCATGCAGAAAACCAAGGAAACAGCAGTAACACTGGGCTGAGAACAGCCTGGCAGCCCGTCTGTGCTCAGCCACCTGGGAGAAGGGACACAGCGTCCTGCCCTCAGCGCCTGCTCTCAGGAGCCTCGCGTGTGCCAGACAGGCCACCTGTGCCCTTGTCTGTCCCTGTCCCCCAGCTGCTCCCTGCCACTGGCACCCGGCTTCTCCTCTGCTCTGGGTTCCTGGGTGTCACTTCTCCCTGGAGTGGGGCCAGAGCACAGAAGCAGTGCCAGGATGATCAACCCCCTCGCCTTCCCTGGCCCACGGGTGGCTCTTCCTATGATTTCACTCCCCTGTTCCTTCCCGGCTTTAGGCCAAAGTATTGAGAGATATGTCCAGATGGAAGAGAAGGGAAGCTCCTCTTTATTTTTTTTTTTGAAAGAGGGTTAGCTCTTCCCTCCAGCTGGGGTAAGGTGTCTGGCCCTCCCTCTGACTGGGCTTCCTAAGGTAGAAACCATGACTCAGCCCCCGCACCCCCCCCACTGATCTAGGAATGCCTGGAGGAGACTGTGTCTTCCTCTCCCAGGACCAGACCTGGGAGCTCACCATGGGGGTCAGGGGCGGGGTGGGGGGTGCCTCCTTGGCAGTCAATTACCCCAGCTCTCCCCCTCACACACTTCCTGCCCCGGACTGCCAATCTCTCCTCTGGCTGTCTTTAAGAACCTTCTCCCTGTCTGGGGGGGTGGAGTGGGATTATGGTTTATCAATATCTGGCAATTAAAGTGCTTCTCTCTTCACACAGAAGATTCTGGAAACCCTTCTGAGGGCTCTGGAGGACACTTGGTTCCTTGAAGCCATTGCTGGTGGCCTAGAGAGTATCAGTCAATTAGGAGCTCTGCTCTGCTGAATGGCTGACCAATAAGGGAGCATCCACGCCGGCCCAGTGTGAGAGAGACATTTTTTTTTTGCTTTTTTGGGTCACACCCGGCGATGCTCAGGGGTTACTCCTGGCTCATGCACTCAGGAATTGCTCCTGGCGGTGCTCGAGGGACCATATGGGATGCTGGGAATCAAACTTATTTCGGCCATGTTGGCTGCATGCAAGGCAAATGCCTTACCCGCTGTGCTATCACTCCAGCCCTGAGAGAGACATTTTGGAACTGGGGGACAGGAGGCAGGGACTGCAAGTGAGGGAGGCAAAGAAGCCCCCGAGCCCAAGCCAGCGGACAATGGGAGTTAGAACCCTAGGTGACCAGCTGAGTGTCACCAAAGGCTCTTTCAGGCCAATGGTGGGGGTGTGAGCAGATGTGGTCCAAGCAGAAGCCGGGAAGAGTGCGGGACTTCCAGCTGGGAGTCCACCTGAGCAGAGGCAGCTCACCTCGGAAACAGTAGACGTTGTAGCGGCTGTGCTTGTTGGGGAAGCCAGTCTGGTTGGGGAAGAGGAAGAGCGTCTTGACCCCGGGCAGGCCCCCGCCACAGCGCTGGCTGGGCGTGACGATGGGGTAGCGCACACTGCCGTCAGCCAGCCAGCCCGGGCTGCAGCGGTCCAGGCCATCATCCCAGGCTGCATACAGCTGACCCGTGGTGGCGATCTCTGCGCCCCGCTCCCGGCAGTACTCTCGCGCCTCCTCCAGGGTCAGCTTGTCCTCAGGTGCCCCCAGGAACAGCTCTCCTGGGAGGGGGTGGAAAAGGAGGTGGTGGGGACTTCTCTGGACCTGTGTCCCCATCTGTGATGTGGGGTCAGTGAACCCAAGTCCAGAGAGAGCCTCTGGCTGGCAATATGGCCCATATCCCCTATTTCTGCAAAACAAGGAAAAACAGAGGGGCCAGAGTGATAGTCCAGCATGTAGGGCACTTGCCGTGCACGTGGCCAATCTGAGTTTGATTCCGGGCATTCCCTATGGTCCTCTGAGCCTTGTCAAGAGTGATCCTGAGCCCAGAGTCAGGAATAAGCCCTGAGGACTGCCAGGTGTAGCCCCCAAACAAAACAAGCAAACCAACACCCCGATTGATGTCCAGAGATGCTAAGAAGTTCAGCAACCAGCAAACATCACAGCGCAAACAACCGCCAGCACTGCCCACTGTGGTCCTATTGGTTCCCGAGTACTGCCAGGGCTGTGAATCTAGGTAGCCCCAGATTTACCAGGACTAAGCACTGCCCCCTGAAGCATGGTTGGCACAGATTTCCAAGGCAAAGTCCCATGTGCCCTGCGTGCTGCCAGGAACCCCTCCTGCAAACTTCCCCCTTCAAACTCAGTCTGAAGCTTTTGGCAGGAACTTCCTCTGGGAGTGCTGGAGGGAGATCCTGGGGGTGACTTGCTGGCCCGGGAAGCTCCCTTTAATACTGAAGGGTCCTGCACCCCCACTCACCATTTAGGTCCTCGGCATAGCAGTAGACATCATAGAGGTCTTGGGGGTCCACCAGCCCATAGTTGCGGACCCCAGGGAAACCATCCATGTCTCCATAACAAGCCTCTCGTGGCGTCTGGATGGGGTACCTGGGGACAGAGCCCAGATGTCCTCCAGGGCGTGTCCCTGCAGCCCTTCTCAGTGACAACTGTGCCTCAACACAGTCATGCCCTCCCTCCTGGGGGGCCCCACCCCTCCAAAGGCTACTCTTCCCTCCTCTGCGGAGACTTCGCCCTCACCACCGTCCCCCCAGTCCCAAGGCCGACCTCATTTCCCAGAGGCAGGGGACCCAATGTCAGGGCCAGGCCATGGGCAGCCCCTGGCAGACCGCTGTCCGCCACCGGAGGGCGTACTGGAGCCCGCGCACCTGACGGTCTGGTCGGCCAGCCAGCCCGCATCGCACTGCTCGTAGCCCCCCAGATAGGCGGCGTACAGCTGCTCGGGGGTGGCGATGCGGGCTCCGATGCGGGAGCAGGCTTCCTGCGCCGCGGGGAAGGAGAAGGCGTAGCGGGCGGAGCCCTCGCGGTAGAGGAAGACGACCCCTGCGGGAGGAGGGGCGGGGAGCCAGCCTGAAGGCGCAGCCGCGCGCCCCTCCTCCATGCCCGGAAGGTTTGGGGGCGTCCCTCCCCCAGAGGCCTTTTCCCGAAGTCTGGGGCGCCCCTCCTCGACGCACCCCTCCCTGCAGCCTGGAGCGCCCCTCCAATCCACCCACGGCTCTTCCCGCATCTGGGGGCACCCCTCCCCTACGCATCCCTCCCTGCAGCCTGGGCACCCCTGCAACCCACTTCCCCGACGGCTCCTCCTGCAGCCCCGAGTGCTCACCTTTGACTTTGACCTCCACGGCGTCGCTGCTGTCGTCGATGCCATGCTGGACCTCGCAGCGGTAGATGCCCGAGTCGTTGGGCCGCAGCTCGCTCAGCACCAGGGAGACGTCGGTGAGGGACGCGGGGTAGGCGGGCAGCGCCACGCGGAAGCGGTAGGCCTCGCTCACCTTCACGCGCAGCCCGCGCGCCACCAGCACCTCGGCCTCGCGGCCGCCCGCCAGGAACGTCCACTTGACCCGCGGCAGGCCCGGGGCCGGGCGGCTGGTGGACTGACGCAGGATGTGTACGTGGCACGGGATGGTTAGGGCGCCGCCCAGCACACCCCGCAGCGGCGCAGGGCCGGCGATGCGCACGCGGAACGCGCGGTCCTCTGCGAGGAGGGGCACAGGTTGTAGCGGAGTGCTCCAGGCCGGACCCGTGCCGGGGGATCCCTCCCGCAGGTGTCCTGGACCCACCGACAGTGTCTACACACACACACACACACACACACACACACACACACACACACACACACTCATGTTTCCCAGTGTCGCCCCAGGGTACTCCGGCCCCACCCTGAGCCTGCCCAGCTCGCTCCTCCAGCTGGAAGCCCCCATCCCAGGCTCCTCTCTCCATTCCTGGGGTCCACGCTCTAGTTCTGCCTGCAATCTAGGTAGGTCCCTTCACCTGCACCTACATCTTTTATCCTTCACCTACAGACTCAGCCTTGAACCCGCGTCTCCCCAACCCTACTCCTACCAGTGCCCAGAGCTCATCTTTAGTTCTGGACGTCCCCCCACTTTGCCCACACTTCTCCCACTGTTGTTCCCCCAGGCCCCTAGGGCAGGCCCCTATCACAGGGGGGATGTGGAGGACAGAAACAGTGGCCCCAACAGGGCCCTTACCTGAGCTGTCTTCCAGTGTGTCAGTGAAGGCGGCAGGGAGTGGAGCCAGGGCCAGCGTGGCCAGCAGGCACAGGAGCCCTGGGGCCATGCCGCAAGGTGCTGGGCAGACCTGAGGAAAGGGCCAGGGCCGTCTGCACCTCCAGATCAGCCTGCCTAGACGCCCACCCCAGTGAAGGCTCTCACACTTCTCATCCCGAAAGCTCATCACTCCCAGGGACTCATCTCCCAGCCCAGAAATTCTTCCTTAGAGCCGGAACTCGGTTGCAGCCAGCTCACTGTGTGACATGAGGAGGGTCTCTTACGCACTCTGGGCCTTTGCTTATTTGTAAAAGAGCATCATATGTAGGAGTCCCTGGGATCAATCACTGGCACCAGTCACATATAATAATAATAATAATAATAATAATAATAATAACAGCTGAAGAGAGAAAGAGAGAAAGTGCAGTGGTCAGGTACCTGCCTTGCTTGCAGTTGACCCGGGTTCCACTCCCAGCAGTACCTATAGTCCCCCAGCTCTGCCAAGAGTGATTGATCCCTGAGTGCCGAGCTAGAATAAGCTCTGAGAGCAGCTGGATGTGTCCCCCAAAGTATATAATAATAATAAATAATAATAAATAATAATAATAATGATAATAAGAGTACCATTCGCAACACCCTACAGGCCATGTGCTTTGAGTGTTTTTTTTTTCTTTTATGGGTCTCACCTGGTGATGCACAGGAGTTACTCCTGGCTCTGCACACAGGAATCACTCCTGGAGGTCCTCGGGGGACCATACGGGATGCTAGGAATCGAACCTGGGTCAGCCGTTTGCAAGGCAAATGCCCTATCCGCTGTGCTATTGTGCCAGCCCCTGTGCTTTGAGTGTTTTATATCTTAAACCTGTACACACAGGCACACACTCCAGGCTCAGTAGATGCCTGGAGCATGAAAGGTGGATTCTGTTTCCCTTAGCCCTCCCTGAGTCTCACTCTGTCCCTCACCCAGAGCGCCGTCTGCCCTCCAACCTTCCTTTCCTGTTCCTTCCTCCCTGAGTACTATCCCGCTTCGACCTCCTCCAGGAGGGCCCCCCTGACTGATGCAGGACCGTGCTCTTCTCTGCAGCCCAACCCCCCGCTCACCTCCCCCGACCCACCCCAGCACCAGTGAGAAGGGAAAATCTTCACCCTCCCACCCTCCCTTGGCTGCTGGTCCCCTTCTTCCTCCCAGTCTTTCCTTTCTGCCTGGCACGGGCTTTCCCACCGGATCTGCTGGCTCAGAAACCCGCCGGGACAAAGCTCCTGTCTCTGCCGCCTGGCCAGTGTCCAGCCTCTCCCATCCTCCACCCCAGCCCTGGGGCTGAGGAGTGGGTGGGGGGATGAGAACAAGTCTGTGGGCGCCTCCCTCCTGCCCTTGGCCATAGGTCGCTTGCAGGAGCTCTGGAAGCAGAAGTTTTCGCTAAAGATCTCAAAGTATCACTCATCCTCTCAGAAGGGGGAGGCGAGGCATTGAGACACGGGACAAGGTAAAAGCCAGGTCAGGCACCAGGCCAGTGTGTCCCCAGGCAAGGAGATGAAGAGCTCATGCCCCACATCACTGTCAACAATCAGGCTGGATTCAAGAAGAGCATGGAGACAGGGCATTGCTGCAGCAAGGGGGGCAAAGGTTAGACTACAGGCAGGACTTCCCAGCCAGACGGCCTATTCCCACCTATTCAGCTTCCACTTTTCCTGGTCTCTTGGTCTCTCGAGCTCAGCTTTCATGCATGTCGCACCCCTTCCGCAGCCTGAGCCACAGATGTCTCCTCCTCCCTGCCCCTGAAGGATGCCTCCCCCAGTGTCCTCTCTCCCCTCCAGTCTGGCTGGGGCCGCATTTCCATGGAGCCAGAGACTGCAGACCCAGAGGAGTTGGCAGGAGCTGATACCCAGGGCCTCTCTCTGGCCTTGGAGAGGGGAGAGCCTGAGGGTGGGCATAGGTTAGGGGTGCTGAGCTCAGTTCTGGGCCAGGCGGGCTTGGGGAGGGCTGTTTTCAGGGACTGGGGGGATACTGGGTAGAAGTGGCTGCAGGGGTCTGGGGAGACTCTGTGCCATACAACTGAGCTGTGCCAAGCCCGGAGCCAGGATCTTCCCGGTGCCCTCCCCCGCTCTCTCGGGGCTGGAGCTGGAACAACTCACAGACCTGGCTCCTAGCCCTGCCACAGACGCCCCAGAAACCCACATAGTTGGGGCCCCTCTGAGACTGACTCCAGGCCCACCCTGTCACCTCTGGGTGAAGATCAGGTAGTTGGGGACAGAGGCAGGCCTGACTGCTAAGGACACGGAGCTGAGCCCACTGCCCAGGGAACTGATGGATGGCCCTGGTTCCCATGACCATGGTGAGAACCCCAGTCTGTCCTCCACTCCCTGACCGGTCACACCAACGTGGGCCTCATGCCCGAGACCTGAAGATGTCCCCTAGTCCTGCAGCAGACTCAGGGCCCCGGGTCCCAGCCCTGGCTCTGTCCGGCTCCTGCCTCTCCCCTCTCCCTGCCCCTCAGCTGCCTTCCAGCTCTGGCTTCTCCAATTCTACCAAACTCTCCTTCACGTTCCCTCCTGCCTGCCCTGTACATGGGCTCCTCCACAGACCTGAGACCCTGACTGCAGGGAAGCAGAAATTCTGTGTGTGTGTGTGTGTGTGTGTGTGTGTGTGTGTGTGTGTGTGCGCGCATGTGCATATGTATCTGTGTGTCCACACACCCACCGATGCCAGGACTGCCCACCACTGCAAGCCAGGTCCTTGTGGCAGGAACTGGGGAGCCTCTCGGTGGGGTGGGCAGCTCAGGGGTGCGGGCGGGTAGGGTCTTGTGCCCAGCAAGAGGGCAGCTCTCAGCTGGGCTCCATGAATGTACCCAGCAGTGGCCCGGTGGGTGAACAGGGGTTGCTTGCAGGAGACCATGCACTGAGCGTACAAATAGCCCTATTTGGGGAAGTACAATTAATAATGCCGTTAGCAAGAGCGCCAGCAGGCGACTGTAGCTCCTCCAAGTCTAATTCAAGAGCGGTTTGTGCTGGGCTTCGTGGCAAAGCCAGCTGGGCACCCCAGGCGGGTGGGGACTCGGTCCTGCGACTCACTGCTGCTCTCTGGATGTGGATAATCACCGGGCTAACGAAACTGCCCCAATCCCTTGGTTTGGGGAAGCCGCGTGCGTGGGCAGCGCTGTGGGGCTCGGAGAGGACTCCCCAGCAGCAGGGCTCAGAACTCTGTCACCCAAACCCATACGCGGACTGCGAGGAGCTAGCAGTTCAGTGTCGGTTCTAGCACTCGCGGGGAAGCCGAGTGAGGTTCAGAGAGGTCTATTAACTTGCCCAAGGTCACACTGGAGAGTAAGTGACAGCTTACTTAGCTGGGGGACTCAGCGCCGAAGGGCAGGGGCGGCGGGCAAACCGGCTGTAGCGGCACCTGCCGCGGGAGGGCGGGGCGGGGTGGACCCCCAGAAGCAGGGCTGTGTGCCCCACGGGTATAGAGTGGGGGGTCGCCGGGGACCGCCGCCCTCTCCGGCACAAGGTCAGGGTCCCGACGGCTGCAAGCGCCCAGCTAGGACCTCCAGCGGCGGACTCTGGTGGGGGGCTGCGGGGGTGCGGGCGTCGGAGGAAGGCAGCCGGGGCGGTGGGAGCGGGGCGGCGACAGGACCCTCCCGCCTCCCTGTCCCGCTCAGTCCCCGGGTCCGTGCGGCCGGGCCGCGGGGTCGCACTCACCTAGCGGCGGCGGGGCCGGCGGGGTGCGGCTCGGCCAAGTTCGCGGCGGCTCCGGGGGTCTCGGCCGGGCGCGCGGCGCGGTCCTGCGGCTGCAGTCGGGACTGCGGCGGGGACTGCGCGGGCGCAGGGAGCCGCGGGGCCCGCAGGACGCTCGGAAGGGGGCGCCGGGCCGCGGGGCGCCGCACAAAACCCCCTTTCTTCGCCCCCCCTACCCCGCCCCGCCCCGCCCTTCCCCGGGCCGCCCCCGCCCCCTAAGCCACGACGCGGGGGGCTCGGCAGGGTCACGGGACCCGCTGGTGCCCGGCGGAGGCGGCGGGAACAAGGGCGCGCGAAGTAGGACATGGTTCCGGGGCGTGAGGCCGAGCGCTCGGGGCGCACCGGGGGCGCTCCGGGAGCCGCACGCCGGGGTGCATGCAGCCGCGCCCAGCCAGCGGGCGGGGGGCCTCCGCCTCCGCAGGGAGGGAAGGCGGGGAGCGGGGAAACGACGGTTTGACGCCTGGAGAGACATGACCCCCACCCCCCCAAAAAACGGGGAAAGGAAGCGCTTTTGGAGGCGCGCCGGGGTGCAGCGACCCCGAACGCAGGCCTGCAGGGGGCGCTGGTGGGCTGGTACCCGAGCGCGCGGAGGTGGAGCTGACTTTGCAGCCCGAGGGATGGAGGTGAGACAGCAGACGCTCCGGGTCAGCAAAAGCCCGCGCGGCCTCGCCAGACGAGGACCCGAGCGGTGCTGCGGAGTGGACGTGACTGTCCAGCAGGCCAGTGTGCGGAGAGCAGGCGTTGCCGGGAGCCCAGAGGGCCTGGCGGCCCCGGGAGTCGCTGCTGAATGTGCAGCGGGGACCAGGGGGCGGGTCCTGGGCGCCGCTGGGCAACCCCGAGTGCCCAGAATGCCAATATCACCCCTTCCACAGCTCCAGAGTCTGGCTTCCCTCCGCTTTCCCAGGCTCTTTCCCCTCTCTTGCTCCTCCCCCTCCTGGGATGCCAGGCAGAGCCCCTGGCAGAGACACCGGACAGGGCGGCCAGACGCCCGGCTTAGCTCTCCTGGATGTTAGTGGTGGCGCCAAGGATAGCTTGTCAGGGACTTTGATCTCCAAGAGCACCCAAAAAATTCCCATTCGAGTGGGGTGCTTCTCTGGAGGCCGTACCCTGTGGGCCTGTGTGATTTCCAGCCTGGCGCCTGTGGAGAGGGCAGTCCCCCTCTGCCTGCTCAGCTTTCATTCCCTGTGCATGCTTGTTCCCAAGGGCTTGGAGACGCTCACAAACCACCCGCCAATCCTTGGAGATCTAAAGGTCAGATTCTGGCTGCTGCCCAGGGGCCCAAGGCAAGTGGCATAGCTGGTCCTCCTGGGAAAGGAATGTTCCCCACAGGGGGCCAGACTGAAGGATCAGAGCAAGGCTCAGGGGCGGTCCATGGAGGAGAACTTCAGTACATCTGGTTCATGCTCCTGACATCCACTTGGATCAGGCCTGGGGATGCCAGCCAGTGGCATATCATGGAGCCATTGGGGACAAATATGGGCATCAGTGGGAGAGCTTTCAGAACTCCCTGTGGCCCCTCAGACCTTGCACTGAACCTGAACTGAAACTCCCTCCTTGTCCGGGATGGTCTGCCAGGCTGTGTGTATCCAGCTGGCCCCACACAGGCTCGGTTGCTTCTCATCTAGGCGATTTGTAGCAGAGCAGGACTCAGGCAGCCACGTGGCTGAAATGCAACTCCCCCAACCCCCCCCCCCCCCCAACAACACTTCCAGAGATCCTTTTCATTTTGTTTTGTTTGGGGGCTTCACCCAGCGGGGCTCTGAGTTTCCTCTTGGCTCTGCACTCAAGGATCACTCCTGGCAGGGACGGGGTCCCTATAGAGTGCTGGGGTCAGACCCAGCTAGGCCACATGCAAGGCAAGTGCTTTCCTTTCTGTGCCATTTATCTCCAGCCTAGAACCAAAGCTCTTGCCTCCAGAGCTGTGACTGGCTGTGGGATGACAGTGACCTTCCCTGTCTCCTGCCCTCGTGATTAGAAGAGTGGGGATGGGAGCAGGTGTCCAGTCTTGAACAAGGTCAATAGCACCTGGGTGGACACAGCCGGGAGCAGATGGGCTGTTTTTCCAAAAAGCAGAGCCCTGGCAGGAAGGCAGACAGGGCAAGAGCACAGACAGCTGCCACCGGGCACTCCTGGGGAGAACCAGCTCCGGGCACCAAGGCCAACTCACCAGTACCATTTGCAGAGACAAAACCTTGGGAGGGACTTTCACACTGGGGAATGGTCACCTTTTCTGGCCAGTGTCTGTTGCACTCAGGATGGAGAGAGGGAACCTAGCTTCTAGGGTTTTTGTCTTTGCTCATCACACTCATCAGCACACCTGTACATATGTGTACACACCCAGGCATGCACACACATGCACACACCTGAACCGTAGCAGATCTTGGGCCACTGGTCTGTAGGCTATTCCCTTAGACTGGGGAGGAAGATTATCATCATTATTATTATTAATTTTGGGGCCATACCTGGCAGTGCTCAGGGCTCACTCCTGGTTCTGTGATCAGAGATCACTCCTGGCAGGACTTAGGGGACCATATATAGAGTTGGGGATTTGAACACAGGTTGGCCATGTAAAAGGCAAGTGTCCTACCCACTGTACTAAACTCTCCAGCCCCTATTATTATCCTTTTTTTTTTGTGGGGTGTCTGGGTCACACCCGCCAGTGCTCCTGGCTCTGCACTCAGGAGTCACTCCTGGTGTGACTTGGGGATCCTATATGGTGGCAGGGATCAAACCTGGTTTGGCCACATTCAAGGCAAGAGTTTTACCTGTTTTATTGTCACTTGGTACAGGACTGACTGTCTAAGAGTGGAGCTCTTTTCTAGTATTTTTTTTTAAATATTGGTTTTTTATTTTATGGGATTTTTTTTTCTTTTTGGGTCACGCCGGCAATGCACAGGAGTCACTCCTGGCTTTGGTCTCAGGAATTACCCTTGGTGGTGCTCAAGGGACCATATGGGATGCTGGGAATCGAACCTGGTTCGGCCGCGTGCAAGGCAAACACCCTATCTGCTGTACTATCGCTCCAGCCCCTTTTCTAGTATTTTTGGAAGAGGGGCAGGAAAAAGCACACCCTGAGGTTTTCAACATTTCCAATCAAAGGGCTTGGACAGAAAGCACAGGGGTTAGGGCTTATGCACATGATTCAGGTTCCATCCCAGCATGCGCATATGATAAAAATCTGAAAATCTGAGCAGTACCCCATCCTTGGGGCCATGAGTTGAACCCTGGCCTGGTTGGCCAAATATCACAAGAAACAGGTTGCCAGCTTGTGAACACCTGTGAGAGGGTCCCTGGCCCCAAAAAGCAATACTGAAGTCTAGCCTGTGCTTTGAAGTGATAATTGGTTATCAGGACTTTGTTTTGCCTGCTGTCATGGGTCATGACACCTACATTCTTCTCACTTGACTGGGGGTGGGTGGGAAGGTAGGGTTTGAGGGGTGTTAAACTGGAGTCCTTTCCCTTTAAGGCTCAGAAAGGGATCCAGGGGTCAGCAAGGGAAAAGGATCAATGGAAGCAGGAAGGAGGAAAGTCAGATTTTAGTAGAACCTTCTGACCCCGTAATGGAAAAGTCCCTGGTAACCTCAGTATCTTCTGGACGAGGAGACCAAGACCCACAGGGGTGGCTGTCCAGGGAACCCAGCAGGGAAATGACTGATAGGGACTAAAATTTGTCTCTGGGCCTCAGGCCAGTTCCTGCCAGAGCCTCAGTCCTTCAGGTGGAGAGGAGAGAGCAAAGGGCACTCCCCCTGCCTCCCTTGCAGCCCAGCTACCCACCCCTCACCCCCGCCCCTGCTCCAGGCTCAGCCCTGCTGGGTCCCCCTCCAGTCTCCTTCTCCTGTTCTCCAGTTAGGCCAAAGTAGAGGCAGTGACCAAGCTGCCAAAACCCTGAGTCTCCTCTCTGAGTTCTTGCACTCAGTTGCCCAGATCTTTGCTGAGGCTGGGCTTTCACCATGTTGTCCCTAACTGAACTGGCCAGTGAACAGCTGTCCCCCTACTTTCCCAGGCTTGGGGGTGGGGACTGAGGAGGCAGGCACCTGGGTCCTCTAGGCACTGGGGGGTGGGGATGGGCAATGTTGGGAGAGTGAGGGAGGGTCAGGCCCTCTGTATGCGCCCAGCTGTGCCCGGAGAATGGGGGCTTTGTTACCTCTGAAAGGGGCTGGGAAGCACGGGACCCCAGCCCACGCCGGGAGGGACCAGGATGGCTGGATGATGCTCTGAGCTCCTGCAGCTGAATAAGGGACAGCGGGAAGAGAATGGTAGGGAGACAGCAGTGGGCCTCTAAGACTAAACGACTCCCTGGGCAGGGTCAACTGGCCCCTTAACAAAGCCTTACTTTAAGAGAGAACTCTTGTGTTCAGAGGACATCCCAGCTGGGGGCTGGAGAAACAGTCCAGAGGGAAGGCACTTGCTTTGTACAGGGCTAACAAGGACTCTACAAGGGCTCAATCCCCAGGATTCCATAGGAGCACAGAGCCAGGAGTAGATTTTGAGCACTACCAGGTATGGTGCTTAAGAAACAGAGAGAGAGAATGAGAGAAAGAGAAACAAAGAAAGACATACTGAGACTTCAGGTGAAATGATAGCCTCTCTGCAAATATTCTGGCAAAAGCAAGCACAAGAGAGAATCATGAGACAAAAAAGGCAGAATTTTGAAATGGTGAAACTGGATGAAGAAGTGGTTTATTATACTATTCTCTGAACTTCTGTGTATTTGAAACTATTCATAAGGGGGAAAAAATGTTAGGCTGAGGATGTGTAGTTAAATAGTAGGCAGATAGCTTGTGTGTGTGTGGCTTTTGGTTTGATCCCTGTCCCTGCCTGTCGGAAGTTAGTGGTCACGTGTGGTTTTGTGGTGAAGAAACAGCCTTGCTGGCTCCTCTCTGAAAGCCAAAGCCATGAGCTGCAGCAAAGTCATCTTCCTGCAGCAGAACTGCTGGACCTTGGAGGCCTCAGCTTTACTGGACTTGGGCTTCTTAACAGGTCAGAACCCAGAAGAGCAGCAGGTGAGTGGAGAACACAAACACAGCCCAGAGTCTCCCAGACTCACCCGCCCTCCTTTATGCTTCCACAGAGATGAGAGTTGGTGCCCATCCTTAGGTCGGCCCCAGACACCTGGGTTACAGAAGGATTGCTCTTTTCTGACTTTTTTCCTTTTGGAGCCACACCTGGTGGTGCTCAGGGCTTACTCCTGGCTCTGAAATCAATAATTGCCTCTGGTTGTGTGTAGGGGTTCATATTGGGTGTCAGAGATTGAACCTGGGTCAACTGCATGCAAGGCAAGCTCCTTGCCAACTCTACTATGTCAGGCAAGCTCCTTGCCAACTCTCCAGTGTCAGGATTGCTCTTTTTTTTTTCCTTTTGGGTCATAGCCGGTGATGCTCAGGGGTTGCTCCTGGTTCTGCACTCAGAAATTACTCCTGGCAGTGCTCAGGTGACCATATGGGACGCTGGGAATTGAACCCGGGTTGGCCGCGTGCAAGGCAAATGTCTTACACACTGTGCTATCACTCCAGCCCAGGATTGCTCTTTTCTGTCCCCTTTTGACCCAGTGGGACATGGGATTCCTCTTGGAGTATGAGCATACTGTTGAACTCTGTGATTAATGACCTGTTTAAAGATGCTACCAGACTGGGCAGAGAGACATGTCAAGTGCCTTTGCTTGTGGGAGTCCTGGTTTGCTTCCCAGTAACATACAGTCCCCCCATGCCCAGTAGCTCAGGAGCGGACCAGGACATGGCCCCAAAGTTCTTCCAGGGCACTTTTGCTATCTTCTGGCATGGTGACTGAAAGTATTTGAAGGGACAGAGCAATAGTTCATCAGATATGTCACCTGCCTTGTATGCAGCCAAACCAAATTTCATCTCTGGCACCCTATAAAGTCCCCTAATTCCTGCTAGGAGTGACTTAGGAATGCAGTCAGGAGTAAGCTCTAAGCACTGCTAGATGAAAACAAGCAAAAGCAGAAAGAAAGAAAGAAAGAAAGAAAGAAAGAAAGAAAGAAAGAAAGAGGAAGAAAGAGAGAAAGGGAGGAAGAAAGAGAGAAAGGGAGGAAGAAAGAGAGAAAGGGAGGAAGGAAGGAATAAAAGGAAGGAATGAAGAAAGAAATAAAGAGAGAAAGAAAGAAAGAAAGAAAGAAAGAGAGAAAGGGAGGAAGAAAGAAAGGGAGGAAGGAAAGAATAAAAGGAAGGAATAAAGAAAGAAATAAAGAAAGAGAGAAGGAAAGAAAGAAAGAAAGAAAGAAGTATTTGAGATGGTGGCCTCATCAGATAGATCCTTAAATAACACAAGAGCTCCTGTCTACTATGCCCATGTAGCCTGAGTGAAGAAAATCTTTGTTATTTATTCATTTATTTTTTGAGATATTAATGTAGGAGTACTGCCACTTATTCATCCATTGATTTCACTGATTGAATTGGGCATGAACTCCACTGTAACTTGTTTTTTATTTTGTGGCCACAGCTGGCAGTGCTGAGGGCTTATTCTTGGCTCTGAGCTCAGGGATCAACTCTGGTGGGCTCAGGGACCTACCCAGGAAGGCCATGTGCAAGAGAGACGCCCCACCCCTGCACTATTGCTCCACCCCTCTATTTGTTCTTGGGTGATGCCCAGAGGATCAGCTTGCGAGTTTGAAGCTCTCTGAGTTGGTTCGAAGACGGCGAATAGGTGGTGTCCTCTAGTGGTGCCTTTTGAAACAGCACCTTAGACTCCAGCATTCTGACCCGGGCGTAGCAGTCCTGAGTCTCCAACCGTCTCCTCTCTTTGGATCTTGGGGGCCCTCTCTTCAGCATCCCCTCTCCTCTGCAGACTCACTATTCAGCTGCAGCAGCCTCTCCTCTTACATGTCTTCCTAGGCTTGCAGTCTAAGGTTATCTTTCTGCGTTCAAAGTTCAGCTTAATTTCGCCAACACATTTTCCAAGTTATTTTATTGCTGTACACAGAGGTCAGTTAATGCCGCCTGGGCGTCCCTCTGCCCCCAAGCAGTAGCTGGCTGGTCTTCAGCGGCCCGACGACCTAGCCGGGTCCTGGAGGTGTCCAAAGGCCTCATTCACATCCTGTGACCTGCAGCGCCACAGCCTCCGTTCTCGGAAGCCCGGCCAGCGGGGATCTGCGGCCCCAGTTTTCCTGGGGAAGGCAGGTGGGGCCGCTGCACCTCGGCCGGCTGCAGGGGAGGCTCGTGGGGACGTGGCCATGGGAGACTCCCGTGGTTGGAAGGTGCGGGGGTCCCTACTCAGAGTAGCAGTAAGTCCCGTAGAGTGCCTGCTGGGGTTTGGGGAAACCGAAGCTGCGCACTCCGGGGTCCGGGAGCCCCCCGCAACGCGGCCTCGGTGTGGTGATGGGGAAGCGCACGCTGCCGTCCGCCAGCCAGCCCCCGACACACTGGTCCATCCTCGAGAACTTCCAGGCGGCGTAGAGGTGTCCGACTTTGGCCACTGTGGCCCCGTGCCGGTCGCACTCCGCATGGGCTTCTGACAGCGTCAGCCTCCCAGGCACGAAGAACACCTGGCCTGGGGAGCGAGTGGGTCATCGATCCCGCGGAACAGAGGGATAGGGGCAGCACAAAGCTTGCGGGGAGGAGGGCGTGTGGGAGGATCAGGGGTCCAGGGCAGGTGCCGGAGCACGGCTGGAGACTGGAGGAGCCCTAAGCAGGAGGCTCCTTGAAGTGACCACCCAGATTTCTTACTTCACTGGCTTTTGGGCGACACCCAGAGATACTAGGGGTCTACTCCCAGCTCAGAGCTCAAGGAATCAATTCCCCTGTGCACGAATGGAACCCGGGGCTCCTGCATACAAAGCATGCACTCCAGGGTAGCACGTAGGGCGCTTGCTTTGCACACAGCAGACCTGGGTTCGAGCTCCCGTATGCTCCCCTGAGCACACCAGGACTGATTCCTGAGTGCAGAGCCAGGCGTTAACCCTGAGCACCGACGGGTGGGGCCCCCCAAAAGAGCAAAAACGTGCAGTAAGCCCCTCAGACCACCCTGCGCGACGCCCCGCCTCCTCGCACTCGCCGCTCTCCCCGCCCCTCTGCCAGGCCTCCTCGCCCCTCCGCCTCCCGCCCCACTTGCCCACCTCTCCGCGGTCCTCGTCCCGCCCCTCCGGCCACACTGCCCCCCGCCCCTGAGCTCCCTGGGCCAGTCTCCTTCCCCCGCGGCCCGCCAGGCACGCCCCTTGTCGGTGGCCCGGTCCCGGGCACGCCCAGTTCACCTGCCAGCGCCGAGGTAAAGCAGAAGGCGTCGTAGCGGTCGCGCTTGCGGTCGCGCGGACCGTAGCTGCGGATCCCGGGCCGCCCTCGGCCGCCGCACGGAGCGCGCGCCGTGAGCACGGGGTAGCGCACGGAGCCCTCGAGCAGCCAGCCCGCGTTACACCAGTCCAGACCCTCGGTCCAGGCTGGAGGGAGAGGCCGGTGGAGGAACGACAGGTCAGAGGCAGAGCTCAGCGCGGCGCCGCAGGGGCCCGGGTGACCGTGCGGGGCGCGGCTGCTCACCCTGGTACAGCTGCGCGTAGGTGGCCAAGCGCGCGTCCTGCTGCTCGCACGCCTGCTTCGCCTCGTAGTAGTTGAACTGGTACCGGCCCCGGCTGGGCTGGTACGGGAAGACCACACCTGGGGGGCGGACAGCCTGGGGAGGGCGGGCAGCGGGAGGAGGGCCAGGAGGGGGCGCGACCTAGCGGCGAGGGCGGCGGGCGGGCGGGCGGGTCAGGGCTGCGGGGCGCGCGGGGCGCGGGCCTCACCCTCCAGGCGCAGGCTAAGCGCCACGCTCTCGTCGTCGAGGCCGTTGATGAGTTCGCAGCGGTACCGGCCCTCGTCCTCCAGGCGTACCCCCACGATGACCAGCGAAGCGTCTAACCGGTGGCCCTTCCGCAGCCGGGCGCGCCCCCCCAGGGCGCCGTAGTCGCGCGCGTGCAGCCCGTTGGTGATGAGGATGAGCGTCTCCCGCAGTTCCCCCGGCTCCACTTTGCTCCAGCGGACCTTGTAGCTGGGGGGCGGCGCGCCCAGGACGCAGGGCAGCGTGGCGGTGGCCCCGCGACGAGAGTGAACCACCTCGTGGATGGGGGGCAGGAGGTAGTGGGGGCCCGCGTTGGGTGCTGAGCAGAGGGGGCCACAGTGACTGGAACCCCTAGACCCCGCCACGCGCCAAGTGCCCATCCTCCCAAAGGGGCAGCACGGGCTCCCCCGTCCTCAAGACTCTGCTCCTGGGGCTGGAGCAATAGCACAGCGGGTAGGGCGTTTGCCTTGCACGCGGCCGACCCGGGTTCGATTCCCAGCATCCCATATGGTCCCCTGAGCACCGTCAGGAGTGATTCCTGAGTGCAGAGCCAGGAGTAACCCCTGTGCATCTTTGCATCGCCGGGTGTGACCCAAAAAGAAAAAAAAAAGACTCCACTCCTGTCTCCAGCCCCAGCCCTTTCGCACCCCACTTTCCCAGGGCTGGGCCCATGTCTTACCTGGCTCCCCAAGTGCTCCGTGGAAGGTGGTGGCCGCCCAAGGGAGAAGAAGGCAGCAGAGTATAGGGAGACCCAGCACTCCTGGCATGGTGGGTAGGCGGTGGCTTTTTCTGCAAAGTACAGGACCAACCAATCCTTAGGACTAAGATATCAGGTGTGTGAGGGTGGGGGCCTTGAATTCCCATCAGGGATTCCTCAGCACCCACTGTCGAGCTGAGGGAAAGGAACCAATCAATGGTAGCGGCTAGAGGAAGGTCGTGGTGCAGTGATGTTTACAAGGAGCCTTACTTCTCTTTCACATCCTTCCACCACCGACAGATCTTCATGGGGCCTGTTCTGCTGTCCCCTCATCCCTGGGGGCCTGTTCTAACCCCCACAACCAGGCTCTTACTGTGTCTCTCCAGCTCTCCCCCGCTCTGAGGTGAAGGCCAGTGTCCCAGCCGCAGCTTCCAAGGCTATCTGGGGCACAGCTGTGCATCTGCTCACCTCGCTGGAGATCCCTGTGCCTCGGTACTGCAATCAGATAGGCAAGTGCTCCCGGCTCCCGCTGACCCTCAGGCACAGCTCCTTCCCAAGGCCTTACCTCCTCTGGGAAAACTTGCTCTTCCCATGCCGGATTGGGTACTCGTTCCCCCTTAGGAGTAATTTTATAAGCAGCTAAATTAAGCGTAAATTTGAAGGTAATGAATATACCTATGTACTGTACCGATTAGGTTTTTAGTTATTGCAGAGGTAAAAAAAATGTTAAAGCATTATGAAAAAAAATGTCAAGGGTCAGAGAGATAGAACAGCAAGGAAGGTGCTTGCCTTACACGTGGCTGAACCTGGTTTGATCCCCAGTATCCCATATAGTCCCCTGAGCCCACCCGGAATGATGCCTGAGTGCAGAACCAGAAGTAACCCCTCAGCACCACTGGGTGTGGCCCAAAAACTAAAGGAAAAATTTATCATCTTGACTTTTAGTTGGTTTGTTTTGTTTTTTTGACGCCTCATAGCAGTGGTCAGTATGGCCCCCAAACTAAACCAAATAAAAACACTAAACCAAATAAAAACATATGCCACAAACTGGGAAGATAGTATAGCAAGTAGGGCACTCGCCTTGCATGCTACTGATCTGAGTGTAATCCAGATCATATACCCAGCACCACACAGGGTTCCTGAGCACTGCCAAGAGTGATCCCTGAGCACAGAGTCAGGAGTAATCCTGAGTTCTGCCGGATGTGACCCAAGAAACAAAAAAATACATGTCTTTTGTGTATGAAGCCCCAGACTTGATCTCAGCCACTGCAGGAGCAGGGAGAATAGAATTGAGAATTCCTTAACCTAGTTTTACTTATTCAAAAAATTGGATTCTCCCACTTCCTTTATTTTTATTTCAATGTTTGGATCACACTTGGCAGGGCTCAGAGATCACTCCTGGCAGTGCTTGGGAGACCTTATGCAAAACCTGAGTTGTCCACATGCTAGGCAAGAACCCTAACCCCTGCACTCTCTCCAGCTCCCCCCCACACATTTTTTTTGCTTTTTGGGTCACACCCAGGAATACTCAGGGGTTTCAGGGGTTACTCCTGGCTCTGCACTCAGGAATTACTCCTGGCAGTGCTCGGGGGACCATATAGGATGCCAGGGATCAACCCAGGTTGGCTGCGTGCAAGGGAAATGCCCTACCCACTGTGCTATCGCTCCAGCCCCACCCCACACTTTTTTTTTTCTTTTTTGGGTCATACCCAGTGTTGCACAGGAGTTACTCATGCACTCAGGAGTTACTCCTGGCAGTGCTCGGGGGACCATATGAGATGCTGGGAATCAAACCTGGGTCGGCCGCGTGCAAGGCAAATGCCCTACCCACTGTGCTATCATTCCAGCCCCCCCCTTTCTAATTGCATGACTTGAACAAGTTACTGAACACATCTCTCTCCTTCAATGTACATAATAGCACAGCTACTTCAATGAGTAATTGAGAATTGAACAAAATACCACGCAGTGAGAGCAATGTGGGGGGCTAGGGAGATAGTTCAAAGGGCTGGAGGGTATTAGCTGCATATGTGAGCTCCAGATTCAATACCTCAAACCATATGATCCCCCAAACACTACTAGGTATGCCCCTCCACCACACACATAATTTTCAACTCATTGAATGGGGGATGTGTGGTATGACTTACATGCAGAAGATCTGGGTTGAGCCCAGGTACTGCCAGAGCAAAAGAGTGAACTGGTACAGTGGGTAGGGCACTTGCCTTGCACAGGGCTGACCTGGATTCAACTCTTTAAGCCCAAGACGGTCCCTTGAGTCTTGCTAGGAGTAATTTCTGAGCACTGAGCTGGGAGTAAGCCCTGAGCACCACTGAGTGTGGCCCAAAACTGAAGGAGGAGGACGAAGACAAGGTGGAAGAGGATGAGAAGGAGAGGAAGAGGTGGAGGAGGATGAGAAGGAGGAGGAAGAGGAGGAGGAGGAGGAGGAAGAGGAGGAGGAGGAAGAGGAGGAGGAGAAAGAGGAGGCGGAGGAGGAGGAGGTGTTAACTATGAGGTAGCTCCCAGCAGAGAGTCTGGGCATACAGTGGCTTCTGCAAAAGTGTGTCAGCTATGAGCCCAGACAGAGGACTCCTCAGAGGGCAGTTGGGACACGAAGAGGGTGAAAACATCAGAGAAGAGTCAGAAAGTGAAGTGCTGAGCAAATTCTTCCTGGACATGAAGGGCAGGTGGAAGGATCAAGGGAGGGTGAGCACACAAAGGTCCCCAGGTTAAGGATCTAAGGTCCTTCCCTTAGGGCTCAGGTAAAAGGATCTGGGTCAGGAACAGACGTGGGAGGAACAGTCCTGGGCAGATCTGGTCAGCAGCATTCAGGGACACAGATGGGCAAAGGCCTGAATAAGTTAGTCCTGGTTGGGGTAGGGAGACAGAGCAGCAGTGGAAGGTGCCTTCATTATATGAGGCCAACCTGGGTTCAATCTCCAGCATCCCTTGGGACCCCTGCTCCAGCCTCTCCAGGAGTGATCCCTGAGTGTGGAGCCAGGAGTAAGCCCTGAGCACCGCCAGGTGTACACTTACCTCAAATAAATAAATAAATACATACATAATCCTCGTAACCCACTCTTGGGAGAGGTGGGATGTAGGGACCATGACAAGGCCATTCTCTCCTTGCTGAAAACAAACCTAGCAGCTCCCGTGTTAGTGAACTGCAGGGAGACCCCACTGCTGAGGCCTGGGCCATCTCCCGCTCTGACTCCCAGGCCTACATTTCTGTGCTTCAGTGCTGGTGCCCACAGAGCTCCTCCCTGCCCCTTCCAGAGGGGGTGCCCGGTCCAGCGCCTACCTGCAAGGAGCAGCTCTGGTTGAGATGGGAGGAGTGCGGAGCCCAGGCTCTAGGTTCTGCAGGTCATCCAAGTGAAGGTGTGGCCTAGCACCCCAGAGGGGACCAAGCAGAAAAAGTAGCTCTGGAACCGAGGTAAAGGATCAGCAGGGTTGTTCCTTTCACAAAGGAGGGAAGACTTCTGCTCAGAGCTCACACAGAGAAGATGCTATGTAAGAATTCTCCCTACCGGTCCAGGTGACTGGAGGGCAGCCTCAGACCTGCCACCAAATTCCCAGCACTCACTATCCAGGGTCTAGGGGAAGAGGCAGGCTAGGTAAAGGTAGGGCAGGGGCCAACAGAAAAGCATAATTGCGGGGCTGAAGCCATAGCACAGTGGGTAGGGCATTTGCCTTGCATGCGGCCGACTCAGGTTCGATCCCTAGCATCCCATATAGTCCCCTGAGCACTGCCAGGAGTAACTCCTGAGTGCAGAGCAGAACCAGGAGTAACTCCTGTGCATCACAGATCATGACCCAAAAAAAAGAAAAAGAAACACAACTGCTAAAGTTTGGGGAGCAGGATGCCTCTTTTGTTTCTTCTAAATGCTCTTGTACCAGAGAACAGATTGATTGATGGATGAGGATAAAGGCAACAGCCTATGGCTGTGTGGGTCATAGGACAAATAAGGCCCAAAGATCTGCATCTGAGCTGGAAGGATAACACAGTGGGGAAGGGGCTGGCCTTGCACACAGCAAATCAGATTTGATTCCTGGCAGCACATAGGGTCTCCCGAGTCCCGCTGGGAGCAATCCCTGAGCACAGAGTCAGGAGAAAGCTCTGAGCACTGCTGGTTGTCACTCCCAAACAAACAAACAAACAGATCCACAGCCTCAAGCTCTTGATGCCCCCATTTTTCTGCAGGAGCCTCTCCCCACCCCCAACAGAATCCTCACCTCTGCCTTCCGGGGCCCACGCCCGGCTGCTCATTGCCTGTGGGGAGAGGCTGTCCAGGTGGGCACTGCCAGGACCTCCATGTACTTCCAGAAACCTGATCCCGTCTCTTCAGCCACCCTGTCTGTCTGCCCCTGTCATCCTTCTTTCCCTCCTCCCATCGGAAGCACAATTTCCCATTGTCTCATCTGTCCCCCTATTGTTGGATAACAGGGGCCCTTTCTTTATCCCGTGGGTAATGGCAACGGAATGTCAACAGCTGGGGATGTGGGATGCAGGACCGGCTGGCACACAGCTCCGGAAAGGGGCCTGGTGGGGGCGGTCTCAGGGCAGGAAGTGACACCCCCCCTAGGAAAGAGATGCCAAGAGGGGGAGAGGGAAAGTCAGGGGGAGATTGAAATGGGGTCCCCCACAGGCCCTCCCCGGCTTCAGGGCTCCCAGAGATGCTGTGAGGTTGGGGGCCTGCTGGGTTCCAGGGAGGGAGGAGAGAGGTGGGAGTCAAGCAGGAGGCGGGTTTCTGAAGACAAGGACTTTGGGTCGCTCTTCAAAGAAAAGGTCATCTTATTTGCTCCCTGAGTCCGCCACCTCCTCCTTCAGCACAAATGGAGAATCCTTTTGTTTGTTTACTATGTCGCGGGTGGCTTATGTGATGTGGGGAGCAGAGAGGTAGCAGCCTGGAGAAGGGAATTTGCTGCTCCCCTCTCTCCCCCACACTCGGCCCACCAGGGATGTGCCTGGAAAAATCTAGAATTGAGGAGTCTGCTCTGAGCCCCTGCACAGCTGACCTCATGTCTCACCATTCCCACGGGGCAGTCATCAAATGCACCTTGATTGTACTTGATCTGCCCAGGGTGGGAAACATTCCCT